CATTCTGCCACTCAGGGCAAACTGTCTTCCCAACAAAATCCCAAGCAAGCTGGAAATCCTGTGAATCAGGTGGAGGAAAGCCCATGAATGCATCATGCTGATCAAGCAGGGCAACCATTACACAATTAGTGCAATTAACAACTGATCCAACACTAACACCCACCCATTGAGCCACATCCTCCAGAGATATGGCGTTACTGTAGTGGCCAGCACAGTTAAGAAAAATAGCAAGTTGTATAGCAATGGGAAGCTGAGAGTTGTGTGAGTTGTTGTGAAAAATGGGATGGTCAGAGATTAGATCCAGGATGTCATCAAAGATTTCTGGGTCGATGCGTAATTTTTGCCGAAATAAGTGAGGATGGTGTTCCTCAAAATGAACAAGAAGGTGCAGCTGTGGGGCTCATAGGGGAGGTTCATCAGGCCTGTAGAGTACACGTGCTCTTTCTACCTCGTCCCAGAGAGCCTCAATGGAGTCTCGAATCCTGGTCATAATGGGCAGTAAGATGATCAGCTTCATCTCCAGATGAGTCAGAGTCCGAAAAGTCACTATTTGAGTCATCAGAGAAGAATGGGGAAAGAGGCGAAGGAGGGGTAATCACAATGTTCATGAAAGAGTCGCTGAGATCTGATTTCAAATCTGAAGAGCTTGAGATGGAGTTCATAGATTCGTCATCTTGTACCAAGGCATGCTGATATGCAGCCCTAGCTAGTGAGAGTGCAGCCTGGTCAATTTCATGCAACATATCTGTCCGCCTGGATGGACGAGGCATGGTGAAGGTCGAGGGGGATCAATTCCCCTATCTCCCGCTGCACATGTAACTGATTACGATGTAAATTAGGGCGGAGATTGAATTTCCAGGTTGTTCCAGACCTTTTGTTTCATCCCTCAAATGACCGTGGTAGGCATCCTTGAAGACTCAGATCTCACCCTGGCACCTCACATGCAACACCGACTACAAATTCAGGAAGCTGTCGATGGATATGGACACAAGGTGTGTACACCTCTGGCACCTTACCACCCTTTGCCCTAATCATCACCCCACAGCCTTATCAGGCTGCCGGTGCAATCTTTTAACGGATCTCAGCCGGGCTTAACTGCTCAGTGCCTTTCCCCCAGTACCCTCACTTTGACTCTACTTCACCCAACACCACCTTGTCACAACCCAGATCAGATCACACATCAAAACTATTTTCACTTGTACATCCAGCAGGGAGCACTCGTTCAAGTTCAAGGAATGTTCAGTCCTCTTCTAGCGCTCAGTACAGTGGCCATGTCACTGGTGCTCAGCCCACTCCCCCAGCGCTCAGTCCTCTCCTAGCGCTCAGTACAGCGGCCATGTTGCTGGTGCTCAGCCCGCTCCCCCAGTGCTCAGTCTTCTTCTGGCGCTCAGTATGTCAGTCCTCTTCTGGCGCTAAGTACAGCGGCTATGTTGCTGGTGCTCAGCTTGCTCAGCAGTATGACACCCAGCGCCTCCAGCTTGGGTGTTCCCCTGGCGCTCAACCCCCAGCCCCCTCAAATTGACATTCTTCTTACTCATCCTTGCATGCTCCACCCCCTCCCCACTTTCACTTTGCACTTCCCCACTCCTTTCATTTGAGGACTCCTTATCACTTTGCTAGACTTCTTTTTTTCCGGCATTTCTTTTGATTTAGTGGGTTCAGGTATGGACATCAGGAAAACCACCGGTTCCTTTTCTAACTTAATTTGTCACTTAATGACATGAAAAGTACCATCAAGTCATTGAGTGAAAAAGTGTGAACCACTTAATTAAGCCCACTCCATCTCTGAATTTTCGCTTATTTCACACTTATTTCACTTAAAAAACCAGATAAAGCGGCACAAGCCTTTCATAAAAAAGGGGGCATACACGAAAAAGCATAAAATTAAGGAGACTCTCTAATATAAAAAGTCGAGAGCCAGCTGGGGGTACAGGAAAAACGGCGGACATGTGGGGGAAAAAACGGCGGCAAAAATGATGATACAACAGCGGGATTCCACCAGCAGTGTAGAAGAGACAACATCCTACAATGATGAATGTCAGTTGGATGAAACCGGAATGACAAGTACTTACAAAGCATAGCACGCTCATCGTCCTGACTCATCATCGTTAAGCAAGTCCTGCGGTGATTTGATGGCGTCGTTTAAGGCAGTACAAGCATGCGCCATCTGTACTGTGGTCTCTACATACCCAGCAGGCTTGCTTGAGATAGATTTGATGAATGATGTGGTGACTTTGGCCCAGCGAGCCGCTGAAAACAAAAACAGGGCATTGGTCATCTTCCTGGTGACCTTGTTGAGGACTTTCGGTAGTTTGATGACAAGTTTGCCTCTCGCACTGGACGCCAAGATATCTTTGGCTTTCAAATTCTTGTTTGCGAACATTCCCAGGGCGCAGCTCGATCTAAAAAAACAATAAATGTGCATTGAACCATCGTAAAATCAAACTTACAGCTGCAGCACAGATAGCAATAACGCCTGACATCTTGGTGGTGCCTGTCGCAAGTGCATGTGTGTCGAGGTCAGGAACCTCAACATACCCACTGATGGTGTTAAGATGTGCTGTGCCCAACAGCTGTAATATGAAGGGAGAACAGTATGTTGTGAGGGGACTTGGCTTGTCAGGGTCCTCGAATAGGAATGCATAGTCTGCGAGAAGGTAAGCGGCAAGTTGAACAGAATTGGAGTCAGAGTTTCGTGACAAAAAGTCCACAATAATGACCAGGCCCATCGAGCCGAAGTTGCTGCGCCATTCAGAAATTCGCTGCACAGTCTAATTATGAGTACAGTCAGTAAAGCTCGATATAAAATAGTGAACTTATGAGGGAATGAATCACACCACCATGAACAATAGTGATGTTGAGCTCCTTGTATACTGCATTAAAAATTAGCTGCGCATGAAGGAGAAGAATATTGTCTGGGATAGTCCAGAGGTCTTCATAACTTCCGGCCCATAACATGATGGTAGGAAGATATTTCTTTGCCCAGCATTGATCTACCTGCATCATGGCAGGTAAATCAATGTTATGATATGTGCTACGAGGTTTCATGTTCTCTGGTACAGTGTCCACGTTGAGCTGGTGTTTGATGGCAGGAGTGCCATGGGCACATGCAGCGGGTGCCCCGACCTTGATTTTTTTGGGAGCAGGTGGTTTGCTGTCAGCTGTTAGGTACTGTGCCAGCTCAAGAGGCAGAGGGGTCGGGGCTTGGCTTCAGCTCTTGCGCTGCGCCCTTAGCCAAGTACATGCCCTGAATTTGGAGCGGGTCTGACATTGTCTGACGATAGGACGAATGGACCGCTTTGATCCACTTTGAGTGTCAGGGAGTAAGAGCTGCTAGCGGTGGGCTGACTAGGAGCAGAGCGGAGAAGATGGGGGTTGGTGCGGAGGGTGGATAGGAGCAGGGGGGATGTTTGGCAGAGGCAAAGAAGGCGGGGGATGATGCAGAGGGGCAAGGGAGAATATTGGATAGGGGCGGAGTATATGGAAGAGACTTAGAGCACGGCTCTAAGTCGGAGCAGAGGGATCGGAGGGTCAGAGGTGACGACAAGTTGAAACTTGTGTCCAGAGGAGGCAAGGTCCTACTGAGAATTCTCACAAGTAGTAACTGCGAGAAGACAAGTAATATTAAGACTAAGGGAAAATATCTAAGTACATGATATGTTATATACTTCTATGTATGAGGCAGTGACCAGGATAACTATGTAGTAAAGCTATGTACCAAGGATATCATTTGTAAGTACTTTACATAGGAAAGACATAAGTCAGGGGTGGATATCAATATGTACGCGTTGGATCAGTGATTGAGCGGTAATAGGAATTACCGGTGATCCGGAAGTAAGAGTCTATGTACCGAAGGGGAAAGTATATGTCTAAAAGGGGAAAGGGGTCCAGTTGAATGGAGAGGTTTATGGAAGGGGACCGGTTGAGTGGTTGAGTGGAAGCGTAGGGCAGAATGTGGACTTGTGATAGGACGGAGCGGAGGATGAATGGGGCGGAGGGGTCGGAAAGTGGAGCGGATATTAGTATCGGAGCGGTCGAATCAGGTATATGACATCAGCGACAGAAGTCACAACCGATACCGATGTCTGTATGAGTGTCAGAGTGAGTGTGATTATATTCAGTGTCCTTACTGAAAATGTCATGCGTGGATCTTTCTCCTTCTTCACTACCACTGGAGGCTCAGGCTCAGGCTCAGGCTCGGGCTCGAATGTGTCTTCAAAATTGGGGCCTTCGATATCCATGGACCAGTCAGAAACCATAGACTCCTCATCATCATTTAAGACGTCATCCATGCTAGCTTTCCGCTTGAGGGTCCTGTGATTGTCGATCTGCGTGAATGGAGCCTGAGGCCCCTGTGAGCCCCATTCCTGTTCTTCATCTAAGACGTCATCCATGCTAGCTTTCCGCTTGAGGGTCCTGTGATTGTCAATCTGCGTGAATGGAGCCTGAGGCCCCTGCGAGTACCATTCCTGTTCTGTAAATGAAGTCACAGAATCATCATCCGGCTCATACCCTACCAGAGCATTAGGCTCATCAAAGTCCACGTTATCTTCGAATATCGAGGCCACCTGCAAAGCAAATAATTAGCACGCGGATACCAATGATCAAACAGTAGCTGATCACCTTCAATTTCCCCTTGCCTTGCACAATAGTGGCCTCGCACTCCAACGTATCATCGATATCATCTGCAAAGTCGCCAATGAGGGCTTCTGCAACAGGAACCACAGGCTTGTGAATGGGGACCTGTGCATCCGAAGTTGCTGCAGTGGAGGCAGTGCCTTGTGAGAAAATTGATGTTGGAGGCGCTTGAGTTGAAAATGAAATGCTGGATGTGCGGGACATGGGTTCTGATTTTCCGGGCTTGACACCTGAAATCCAATTGGTCACCCAGCCACCCAATGCGAATTTCTGAGTGGTAGCATTGAAACTGGAAGTGAGATTGAGGAAATACAATGTTGATTCAGTGAGAAGTAACATCAGATGGTGAGAGAAAGGAAGCCTTATGGTGCTGGTGTATCTTTCCCATCAGATACACGTGCCACGTTATTGGCGTTATCAGTGTCACTTTCCAATTTTGATGGTGCTTCGTTGATCTTCTTTTGCATGTTACTGATAGTGTCCTTTATCAGCAGCTTTCTGCCTTTCTTTGTTACCTTCCTCTTTTTTGCTCCTGTGGTTCCATCCTCCATGTTCTCAACAGCCTCCACAGTCTCGACAGCCTCCTGGAGGTCGTTTGCCTCATCAGCCTCCATCATGTTGTCAGTATGATCATCACCACTCCTTACTACAGGTTTAGTCGCCTTACAAGCCCTTGGCTTGGGCCGAACAGGGATCACCTTTTTGTTGAGTAATTCTTCCTGCGCTTTCTCCATCTCATTTTGCATACCAGCTAAGCGCTCCAACCCTTTTTGGACCTGTGCTTCCTGTGCTTCCTGCGCTTCCTTGAGGGTAAGGTTGGCGGTGGCCTTTTGTGCCTTGGTACACCTCTTGATCTTTGCGTCAAGCACTATCTGGCCAGGCCGAGTGGTTGCATTTGATGGACGGGTGCAACGGGGAGCGTTTTGGGTAGACATGACTGAGGAGATGAGTTTATGACTTGGGAAGTTGTCATATACCAGATCCGACCGCTCCAATACTGATATCCACCCCACTTTCCGACCCCCTCCGCCCCATCCATCCTCCGCTCCGCTCTATCACAAAACCCGCATTCCGCCCTACACTTCCACTCAACCACTCAACCGGTCCCCTTCCATAAACCTCTCCATTCAACTGGACCCCTTTCCCCTTTTAGACATATACTTTCCCCTTCAGGTACATAGACTCTTACTTCCGGATCACCGGTAATTCCTATTACCGCCCGATCACTGATCCGACGCGTACATATTGATATCCGCTCCGACTTATGTCTTCACCTATGTAAAGTACTTACAAACTATATCCTTGGTACATAGCTTTACTACATAGTTATCCTGATCACTGCCTCACATAGAAGTATATAACATATCCTGTACTTAGATATTTTTCCTTAGTCTTAATATTACTTGTCTTCTCGCAGTTACACCTTGTGAGAATTCTCAGTAGGACCTTGCCTCCTCTGGACACAAGTTTCAACTTGTCGTCACCTCCGACCCTCCGATCCCCCGCTCCAACTTAGAGCTGAGCTCTAAGTCTTTTCCATATACTCCACCCCTATCCAATATTCTCCCTTGTCCCTCTGCATCATCCCCCTGCCTTCTCCGCCTCTGCCAAACATTCCCACTGCTCCTATCCACCCTCTGCATCAACCCCCGTCTTCTCCACTCCGCTCCTAGTCGGCCCTGCCGCTAGCAGCTCTTACTTTCTGACCCTCAAGCAGACCAAAGTGGTCCATTTGTCCTATCGTCAGACAATGTCGGACCCACTCCAAATTTGGGGCACATACTTGGCTAAGGGCGCAGCGCAAGAGCTGAAGCCAAGCGCCGACCCCTCTGCCTCTCGAGCCAGCACGGTACCTAACAGAAGTTAGATGAAGGGCAAAACTTTTGCTGGAGCGAGAAAGGCGGGCTTGGAAGTTGGAAAAACTCATAAGCTCCCAAACAAGTACCGACTGGTGTACACACACTAATCGGACTTTGTTACACAGTACTGTTGAACTTAGTGTTATCACGTGTTCTCGACCAGCTCTTCAACTTGGCTACCATAGGATGCCCAAGGCTGCTCGCAGGGACCACAGTGCCCTTCAGATTCCATGTGGGTACTTAAAATGTGACCGCTACTTCAAGACTCAGGCAGGGCACAAAAAGCACTGGAATGCTTCACACCCAACATTCATATCAGCTCCTACCACCAGCATCTTGCATACTGCTACAGTCGAAAGACGAGCCCAAAGAACCACACAATGACTTCCTTGCAGGACATGATGACTTCTCCGCAGGCTTATTTGACGTGGGTCAGGCTCTCAATGAGCCTGATAATCTGGACACACAGTTTGTGGGGCCGGGTGATACATTATACCACAACTATCACCCGAAACTAAATGGTACATTTCTTGGTCCTTTTCCAGCTAGTTGCAATTAACACAGGTATTTACACAAGCTCATCCTTGTGATGCGACAGGTCAATTCCTTGAAGACAGGAGCATCCCCAATGCCACCTCCAAGCAAATCGCCTGATGACTGGACTCCATACTGGGATCATGTCGAATTCGAGACTGCCGAATTCCTGTACATGTGCAACCAGATGTCTGCCGGGGACATCAACGTCTTATTGGATCTTTGGGCTGCAACCCTCCTGAAACATAACGACAAGCCGCCGTTTGTGGACTGCCATGATTTACATAAAACCATTAACAGTACACCTGGTGGGTGATGTCAAATGGCAATCTTTCAGGGTCCAGTACACGGGGGAGAAGCCGGAACACAATGTACCACCGTGGATGGGTCAATCTCATGATGTTTGGTATTGAGACCCCCATGAGGTCATTCAGAACATGTTGGCAAACCCAGACTATGCCACGGAGATGGACTACCAGCCCTACCGTGAGTTCTCGACTGACAGCAATGAACGCCAATGGCAGGACTTCATGTCCTGCAACTGGGCCTGGAACCAAGCAGTATTTCTCTTTTCTTGTTTTATGTGGCTATACACGCTGACAATCTTTGGTAGGATATTATTTCCAAAGATCCAGATACAACTGGCTCAACCTTTGTTCTGGTTATACTCGGAAGCGAAAAGACGACAGTTTCAGTGGCAACTGGCGCCAACGATTACTATCCGCTGTATGTATAAATCGGGAATGTTCATAATAATGTCTGGCGTGCACATCATGATGCTGTTGCCATCATTGGCTTCCTAGCTATGCCAAAAAGTAATCTTCATCCTACTACTATTGTTCTGTGCTAACTACAGTGGAGCAGCTATGAAGGAGCATGCCTCCTGCCCAAAATATCGGAAATATCGCCAGCAACTCTTTCATTCGTCTATCTCGAAGATTCTTGCGAACCTAAGACCTGGCATGACCAAACCAGAGGTTGTGCACTTTGGTGACGGGCACTATCGGCAGTGTAATCTATGGGCTTGGGCCATATATTGCAGATTATGAAGAGCAGGTTCTATTAGCATGTATAGTGCGCTCTTGGTGTCCAAGGTATGTTCCTAGTAGTAATTGTAATGTACCTTCCGCCTTACCATTGTTAATATACAGGTGTATGTCACACCGCAAAAGTTTGGACTCCAAGTCGTTGTGTCGCAATCGTGACCATACAGAAGCACTCATTGAAGAAGTAACATCTACTGATCTGTGGGACGAGTATGGGATCATAAACGACCTCATCATAAGTCATGCATCTTCTCATAGAACTGCAGTTCATAGTATTTAATTCCTCCTAGCCATTTACAAATGACTTCCCTCGAGCTGATATTCACAAACTTATCGCGCCGGACCTCCTACATCAATTGATCAAGGGGACCTTCAAGGATCATTTAGTTGAGTGGGTTGGAAAATATCTGCACCATGTGCACGGAAAGAAAGGAGCAGAGAAAATCCAAGACGATATAGATCGAAGGTACGTCCTTTTGTCTAAATTCGATGTTTCAAAGCTCATGTCATGGAAGAATCGCTGCGGTTGCTTCATTCTCAGGTCTTCGACGTTTTCCACAAGGTCGAGGATTCAAACAATGGACCGGCGATGATTCGAAAGCGCTTATGAAGGTATATTCAACATTATTTCTAGGACATTGTGACTGCCAGACTAACAACAGTTCAGGTTTATCTACCTGCCATTGAAGGTCACGTCCCAACGGATGTGGTCTGCACATTTCGTGCATTTCTTGAATTCTGCTATCTCGTATGGCATAATATCATCATGGAATCCATACTGGTTCAAATCCAGGACGCTCTCAACCGATTCCATCATTACAGGAAGATCTTTGAGTCCATGGGTGTCGTTCTCACATTCTCCCTCCCTCGACAACACTCTTGTTCCCATTACATCCTCCTTATCCGACAGTTTGGCGCACCCAATGGTCTTTGTTCCTCGATCACCAAGACAAAGCACATTAAAGCCGTAAAGGAACCATGGAGGTGCTCGAGTCGCTACAAAGCCCTTGGTCAAATGCTGGTGACAAACCAGTGCCTTGATAAACTTGCAGCCTCATGTGTTGATTTCAAGAGCCGCGGGATGCTGAATGGCACCTGTCTGTTGGAAACGCTTCGAGCATTAAGTGAGTTTCTTTAGTGCTATCATCTTTATTATTCACTTAAAATATATACTAGAGTGGTTGCAGTTAAATACAGAGCCTAATACTGACCAGCCCGACCAACCCAATGAGAATAGCATTCTGCCACTCCCTGACCTCGACGTCACTATACAGGGCGACAATGAAGAGGGTGAAATTATCGATGGCCCAACACTGGTGCAGGCCCATGTTCAGTTGGCAAAAACACCCCGTAAGCCAGCTCATATTCGACTGCGAAGACCTTATTTTATTTTCAACATTGCGCAGAACGCACACGTGCACGAACTGTACCTGACTTATCTGCAGAACTCACTATCCCCCATCTCTACAACCTCCTCCACCAATTCCTATTCGAACAAGTCAACCCAGATGACCAGCGGTCTCCCTCTGAAGTCCCACTTGCAAGTTGTCCTCGAATCGATGGCAAAATTCAAGTCTTCAACTCCGCGTCTTTGATGTTCTATGCACCTAGCGACCGCAGCAGGATTGGTGGCATGCGCCGGGAGCATATTCATGCTTGTCCTCTTTGGAGAAACAAGGCACCGCAATATGACTGTGTGTTTGTGAACACAGATGCAGGTGTCGAAGGGATGAGGGGGATGGACATAGCATGCGTGATGTGTTTTTTCTCCTTGACGTTTGAAGCAGTTTCATACCCATGTGCTGTGGTGCATTGGTTCAACAAAGCCAATGATGATAGACCCGACGAGGACACTGGGATGTGGATAGTACATGCCCTTAATTTCCGGGGGACAGAGGGGAAGTCCGACGGAAGTCCGGGGAATTCCGGAGGACTTAGTGTCAGTGGAGTTCGGTGGAACTCCGGAAGACTATATGGGGGCAGAGTAAGGCTACTACGGAAGTCCGGAGTAGAAACAGAACAGAGGTTAGACTACCCTAAGGTAGAACCAGAGAAGTAGTCCTAAGGTTTAACCCCTAAGACTCAGAGGTGGACAAGGGGTGAGACTCAAGTCCGGAGATTGCAGGAATGAGCAGAACTAAGATGATATTCAAACTGAGAAGTTCCAGAGTATTACAGGGGTTTATATACTGTGGGTATCATGTAAGTAAATCAGTCAGCAAAGGTAAGAGCTATGTACGAAGCATGTGGAAAGTCTATTACTAAGTATAACGGATCAAAGCAGTGAAGTTGGAAATGAAGTAAGAATGGACGGATCAGTAAGCATAGCGGAATAGGACATACCCGGTAACCGGAGCAATAGCTAATCTAAAAGGAGTTAGGGGTGAGTGCGGAGATGAAGGCGGAGCACCGGGCGGAATAGTAAGATGGAGGACTGGACTTTAATGAAGTAGATTCAGAATTCCAGATCTGGAGGTACGGGATATGACACCTTCATATGATACTGACCATTCTCCATCAGTTGGAATCATTCACATTGATTATATTTATCACGCCGCGCACCTCATCCCAATCTACGGAACACATGCCATCCCACAGAACCTCAAACACTATGACTCCTATGATGCTTTCCGAGCATTCTATATAAACAAGTTTGCAGATCATCATGCATTCAAGATCGCATCTTAGGTAGGACTGTTTGACTCAGACTCAAATAAGTACTCAAAGGCCAACTACAGACACTCTTTTGACGCTGTCACACAGCGGTACTCATTTACCACCTCACAGAAGAATATGATCCGCACAGGTGCGACCTTGTTACGCTTGCCAGATTTGTTTGTGCCCCCTCATCCACCCATGCATCCCCTATGCAGTGGTACCCACCCACCATCCCAAAGAATATGATCCAAACAGGGGCGGCCTTGTTATACTCACCAGATCTGTCCATCCACTCCCCTAATCTACCATGCAGTGGTACCCACCCACCATCCTGAAGAATATGATCTGAACAGGGGTGGCCTTGTTATACTCGCCAGATCTGTCCATCCGCTCCCCTAATCCACCATGCAGTGGTACCCACCCACCATCCCGAAGAATATGATCTGAACAGGGTGGTATCCACCCACATCCCAAAGAATATGATCTGCACCTGTGCGGCCTTGTTACACCCGCCAGATTTGTCCACTGTGCCCTCTATAAGGGATATTGCGCGCCTGCTGTAGTTTGCAGCTCCGAATCTTATGCGCGCCCTGTCTTATTGTCGAGAACGCCCTCAGTCAAGATCACTCTCATCGTCGACTGTCAGACGTTCACATTTTCATATAGCGCTAATTTATACAGCAAGCCGAGTCATTTCACGATGCCTGGCAACACGTTCTAACGTGAAAAGGTAAATCCCCAATTTGTTGTACATGAGATATACCCTCATACCTTGTCCAGTCTGCGGCAGCTCAGAGGATTACGCCGTGCCATGGATACGTTCGAGCAACACTCGATTCCAATGGCTCAAAAACCCTCTTAGCCTCCTCCATAACCCCACCCTCGCTACACCTTGCCCAACCGCCTCATCTGCTCGCACATTTGGCTGATCCTCCACATCTGCTGGCACATCTAGCCTGATCCGCCACAACAGACCACCTTCGCCCTCAGTCCGCGATAGATCTGTGGTTTTGTTGGTGGCAAAAGAGTCAGAATTTGGACCAATATCTATTGAACGTGTCAGTGATCCGCAATCTACGCAACGCGCGGGCCACTGACAGCATCCTGAGGGCCCATCTTAGTCACAATCAAGTTCGCAATGTATAGGTTTATAGGTGAGTGGATGGTCTGAACTTGTACTATTATTCGTACTTGCAACTTGATTATCAGTGTTTCCAAACAATTTCTTTTTTCAGACAACGAGCACCGCCGCTTTCCCATAGTGCGGTCCTTCTGGATCACCACGAACCGCAAGCACGCATACCACTACTAGGAACCCTGCCAATGAATGATCCAGCCAGAACTCAGCACTGACACCCCCCGAAAACAGAACCCAGATGAGGCTCGTGTAGTACTTACTATTAGACTGAATACAACTTGAACTTTTGCCGCTTTTTGAATGGTCACAACTTGTGAATTTGAGCACTCCCTGAATTCACTTTTCTGTAGTACTTATTAGACTGAATACAACTTTTGCCGCTTTTTGAATGGTCGCGACTTGTGAATTGAGCACTCCCTGAATTCACTTTTCAGAAAGTCTATTAAGTGTAAAAAGCGATGTTCTAAGTTTCGTCCCTCAGAAATTAAGTGACATTAAGTAAAATAAGTCAAAAAAGCAGCCGGTGGTTTTCCTGATGGAGTACATTGATTTGCTAGCTATGTTGTCCCTATTCCTATTTGCTACACACCCATTCACTATCAAACACACCCTCGGAACTTTGTACATCAGTAAAACAGCCTTTTCCTTTTCCGGCCTTATGTTCCTTAATGTGCCTTCAAATTCCGTCATGACAAGTTTAGACCAGCTGACTTCTTGCTTTTCGTACTTTGTTTCCTTACTACTGAAAGCAAATTAAGGCAAACAAGTGAAAATGGAGAAAAATCAAATTAAGAAGAATAAGTAGTACAATGTATATATAATCAAGAGTTTAGGACGAGATTCCAAAGGTGTTATTATCAGTATATTTGTCAATGTAGAATTTGCTAAAGGGATCATCAGTCTGGTAATGCCGGTTGACTGCTGGAATCAAGAAACTTGACACCTGAAATTCTAGCGCGATCATGATACTGTGTAGTGGGCAACAATCGAAATTTTACAAGTCCAACATTTGTGCGTGTTTGTTTGTATCATGTGACTTTTGATTTGAAAAGTTTCGAGCGCAGTTTCTCTGCCTTTGCTCTCATTGATGATTGCTTCATGCACTAGCTACTATATATCAAGCTTTCAAGGTGCGCAGTGATTTTTTTAAATTCTAATCTTGTTTATATTTAAACAAAACTATTCTAGGATGATCTCTTGCCTGACTCATTGTCTCGCTTGCTGTTCTCACTCAGTCACTTATTGAGGTGCGAGACCGGCCGTTTCAGACTCATCTTTGCACCCAGACCGGCCATTTCAGACTTGGTCACTCTTGTTCTGGTACTTTGGTCAAATTCTCGTCTGCACGTCATTGAATGTCTCGTTCTGTATGTGTGCTCCTATTCTGTACCTGGCACCTTGCACGATTGTTAAGTTTTTTTCGATTATTTTGATTTTATAACTAAGTCTAAATGTTCGCACCAATCTCTAGACCTGCTGCTATCCTCATCTGCATCCATTCGTTTGCACTCTTTCGCACTTGTTTGCACTTGTTCGGAAATGTTCGCACCAATCTCTAGCCCTCCTGCTATCCTCCTCATCTGCATCCATTCGTTTGCGCCCTTTCGCACTCGTTTGCACTCGTTTGGAAATGTTCGCACCAATCTCTAGCCCTCCTGCTATCCTCATCTGCATCCATTCGTTTGCGTTCATTCGCACTCGTTCAGCTCGCACAATTGGTAAGTTTTTTTCGATTATTTTGATTTTATAACTAAATCCAGATGTTCGTGCCAATCTCTAGCCCTCCCGCTATCCTCCTCATTTACATCCATTCGTTTGCGCTCATTCACACTCATTTGCACTTGTTCACGTACTTGTTCTTGTTTGCGCTCGTTCGGAGTCATTCGCACTTGTTGAAATTGTTCACAATCGTTCATTCTGCTGGTACCTCCACCTGCTCTCTAGCTACATTTACTATGTCAGATCCTAGTATGTTGCCTCCTTGATTCCTGCATTTTTCACTCGGACGGTTCCCCTTCTTTTGCTTTCCCACCTGCTTTTAGTGTACTTGTTATTGAATGAGAAATTGCAAAAAGTAAAACAAGTGAAATAAAAGTAGAAATTCAGACGACGAGTGGCCTTTTTCAACTGGCCATCTACTTATTTTCACCCTTGCTTATTTCTGCTTATTGCATGAGAAAAGTTAAAAATAAGTAAGGTAAGCAACTGTGCGTTTTACTGATGTAGCGCATGCAAGCCTCGCAAATACACAAGTGTCGTTTCTAAGTCCGCCATCATGCCGATGTGTGCCGAGTGTGTTGGTGGCTGATCCTTGTAGCTCTATGGGAGTTCTGTAAGACTCTAGCGAACTTTAGCGAACTTTAGCGAGCGTCCCAAAAACTACTCTGAGTCCCACTAATATGTCGGTGAGTCACTCTACTAATGATATTGACCGTTTCAACGCTGGTGGATACATAATGTGTTGAAACGAGAGACAGGGATGAATGCGAGAGATGAGACATTGGGAGATGATCATGCAGTCATGAGCCATCGCAGCGCAGTACTGGAAACTACTGATAATAATTCCCTGTACTGGCCTTATTGCAGTACTGAAGGTATTGGACGCGACTATTTGGCAATTCTCGTAACAGATGGTGATCTAAGCACTGGCATACACCCGGCTGTCTGCAGACAAACACTGCTCCTCCTGTTGGGTGTCTCGTCTCCCCAACCTCTTCGCATCACGGCCGGCAGGCGCGATCCTTCACAGTTACTGTACGTGGACAAGTCGACGCCCCGGTTTCAAGGCGGCCATTCGCCTGATGCGCTAGCATGTCAACCGAGAACAAGGAGCTGTACAATATCCAGAAAGCACTTACAGTGTAATACGTACATGATGCTGACAATCCGGTATTGTTGTCGAGGTAACTGCCAGCCTATCAGTGACTTCGCTCAATAAAAATGTGTGGGTACGACGCACAAGCAATGTGTGAGCGTGCCGTATGGGGTGGTCCCTTGTAGTTTCACAACATTACCGTTGATTTTTATTGCTGCTGGGCAGTCTATACATGCGTTGGCGCCAGCGAGGAAGCCGAGCAGCGCAAACATGATGGAGTGGGAAGCAAACATGATGAATTTGTGGAAGGAAATGAGGTAAAGCCATAGTAGTAGCAGGCAGGTATTTTATAGGCCGAGACTTCCAGAATGAACGTAAAGGCGTTGCTCGGGATGCCATACTTTAGGCGAAAACATTGAGCCAGAATGCATGATAATCTCTGCAGACTCGAGAAGAACTGTAAACCTCATGAGAAGTTAATGTGGCAAGCACTCAAAGGGAGATGTACGGCACGATGCAGATGTGTGCACGTTCATCGGACGTTGTGAACGACGCTCTCCGTAATATGACCATCCTTGAATCAATGTTTATAGCACTGTTAAAAAGTCGCTCCGTGATTTGGCGGAAATTGTGAAAAAAATGTGGTCATGCAGGGCCGTCTGCGCCGTCCGGACAACTTCATAACTGCAAAACAGAGGCCTGGCTTACCGTTGTGTTGGTAGGGTCTGGCAGGGGTCTTTCCTGGGCTCCGATGTCCTCGTAGACAGGTACATTAGGCATGTTCGTAGCATAGGTTCAGTCATCCATTCACCACCATTATCCTCTGGATGTGTTTCTGGGTCCGAGGCTCTTTCCAGTAGGCACCATTCCACCGTCACGGAAGGAACGAGCAGGATCATAAATAAGCCCGATGTCGACTATGGACGTGCCGGGACTTTCTGCCGAGGATATGGGGCGGCAATGGGTATCAGGCTGAAGATGGCTACCGCTTGAGTGTGGTTACCAAGACCTCGACATAGGATGGATGTCATGGATACCAGGAGGGTTGTATCAGAGCGCCAGAGCAGGCTGATTCCGAGAAGCTCGCGATAAGAAAAACTTCGAGAATATGGAATCCGTAAGATAGACAAATACTTTCTTCATCACTGCATCAAAGCGTGTGGGGAGATTGGACCTGCTTCTCAGGAAACATTCAGCGAACGTGCCATAAAATATACCAGGGTTTGGCGGTCGCTCCAGGATCTCCTTAGTGTCCTAACTTACATAGTTTGACGATTGTCAGTCAGCGGCATGTGTTTAGAGACGCCGGCAACGAAACTCACCAAGTCAAGTGAGGTCACAGGTGAGAGGAATGTCAGAAAAAAATTGATAGTTCATGTTGCATCGACGAGTATAGCTGGGTGATGGGCAATGAACTCATCCAGAGGGTAGTATTAGAAAAAGAAACATCGATGCGCAAATTTCATGTTAATGGTCGTACCTTGTGTTCATCAGTCGTCTTCATGAATACTAGAGTCTCGCCAGACCTCTGCTTTGCTAAGCTCCCCCAGCTATTCTCCGCATAGCTTCGACTACGGTGAGAGCTCGCCAAGTTGACCGGATTGCACCGCTAAATGCTTGTATGGGTGCAGAATTCCAATGGAGACGGATTTGGGAGAGGGGTGGCAGATGAGAAAGACTGAAACCAGTTCCTAGAGTTGCCGAAAGTCAAGATTGAATGCGCGATGAGCAGAACGCTGGAAGGAAGGTCGTGCGCCCTCAAAAGATACCGCCATAAAGTGTGAGATAAAACGTAATGGAGGTGTGGAGGCGAACGGCCTCTAATGTCCTGGGCGTCTATAAAAAACGAGGCAGGTTGATGTCCTGAAGCAGCATAAAACGCATAGTACACGGACCTCTGTAGCTAAGAGCAAGACACTTACAATCCCTCCATCTAAGCCCACCTCAACCGTGTTCAACCTCCAGTAAAATGTCGAAGCTCATTCCAAGCACCACGCCCGATCGAGAGTTCAAAGATCATACAGACGCCATACGCGCTGTAGCAGTTTTTCCCATATGGTGACGGTCTATGCGTTGGTATTTTTTTGCAGTCAGAAAACACAACGAATGATCATGGTCACGAAACGAGCGTGAAGTAGAAATGAAGTCAAAAAAAACTTGCGAGTACAGGTACGAAGCAAGAAAGACAAGCTACAAAACTTACTAAGTCACCGGAGTAGACCTCCGAATTCTACGTACATTCTCGTGCCTCGATCTTGTGTAGAACATAAGTTCTGATGACAAGTCGCTTCGTCTGTGGGACTTGAAGCTTGGAGACGGATACTCACGAGTCACCACCTGAAGTTGCATCACTGATGATAACCTGATTAAGTTGATTTATTGCCATGACATTTGATAGGATGGTTTTCGGGACGATTCTAGTAAGTACTGGGGGTATTCTAATGGGGGGTTGGGAAGATGCGACTGACCAAGGCGAGATGTGATTAGTATGTATTTGGGATTGCTCGTAACAGCTAGCGACCTAAGTACTGGCATACACCCAACTGCCTGCAGGCGAACATTGCTCCTCCTGTTGGGTGTCTCGTCTCCCCCACCTCTTCACGTCACGTTCAACAAGATGCTGTAAACGGACAAGGCGGCCCATCTACTAGTATAAGGCGGCCACTCTCCTGATGCGCTAGCATGTCAACCGAAAACGATGAACTGCACAATATCCAGAAGGCACTTACGGTGTTATACGCACACTCCACTGATGTCAATACGGTACTGTAACTGCTAACTTATCAGTGACTTTGTTCAATGAAGATGTGTGGGTGTGGCGCACGAGCAATATGTGAACTTTTTGTATGGGAAGGTCCTTCGTAATTCCACGGGACTACCGCCGATCATGATTGTGGTTGGGCATTTTACACACGCATTGGCGCCAGCGAGGAAGCTGAGCAGCGTAAACAGGATGCAGCAGGAAATAAACATGATGCAGTTTGTGCAAGGGAATGAGGCAAAGTCATAGTAGCAGGCAGGTATTTATAGGCTGAAGCTTCCAGTGTGAACGTAAAGGCGTGGCTCGGATGCCCTACTTTAGGCGAAAACAATTGAGCCGAAACACATGATAATCTACGCAGACTGAGAAGAACTGTGAATGTTAGGAGAAGTTGATGTGACAAGTGCTCAAAGGGAGATGTACGGCACGATGGGGTCGTAGGGCACGAATGAATCTCCGGTTCCTGGGCGGCCTCGGCTTCGCATTACTTGTCAGGAATGGGCACGTTCATCAGACGTTGTGACTTCCCAAACAACACTCTGCGTAATAAGACCATCCTTGGATCGATCAAGCTCCGCACGGCCGCCATAGATATCGAACCTCCTGCGCAACATTTGAGTTTTAAGGTTTGGTCTTGCGCAGAAGGCCACTGATTAACAACACGGAAGGCATGAACAGGATCATAAAGAACGCCAACGCGGACCGCGGGCGTGCAGGGTCTTTCTGCTGAGGATATGGGGTGGAAAGGAGTACCAGGCTGAAGAATGGCTATCGCTCGGGTGTTGTTACCAAGACCTCGGCGTAGGATGGATGTCATAGAGGCTAGGAGGGTTGGTCAGACCTTGAAAGAAGGAAGACAATGATTCTACCGACACCCCCACTGCCCGGAATCAAATACCGCAGTAGTCTGACCTAAAATGAGCCTTGATGTGCCGACCCGGCTTAGCCTGAAAGCCGCGGCTTTGGACGTGTACAATAGGCCAGTGAATGACCTTAGTAAGTACTGGGGGGATTCTAATAAGGGATGCAACTAAGTATTTGGCAATTCTCGTACAATGATCGAAGTACTGTCGTACAGCCGGCTGTCTGCAGATAAACATTGCTCCTCCTGGGTATCTCGTCTCCCCCACCTCTTCACATCACATTCAGCAGTTTGCCTTCACAGGTACTGTAGCCGGACAATGCCCAAGCTTTTTTGTCAACTTGCCGGTGGCCTGGTATGATCGCTAGCATGTCAACCGAGAACAATGAGCTACACAACATCCAGAAAGCACTTACGGTCTCATACACACACTCCACCCCTGGTGAGACGCTATTCTTAATATCGATGTAACTCCCAGCCTATCAGTTACTTTGTTCAATGAAGACGTGTGGGTACGACGCACAGACACAATGTGGTATGGGCTACTGGCCCTGGGAGGATATTCTCCCGCTTCATGAAACCACCTGCCCACTCGACTGTAAGTGGGCACTGTGGACACGCATTGGCGCCAGCGATGAAGATTAGCAGCGCAAAAATGATGGAACGGGAAGTAAGCATGATGGAGTTTCTGGGAGGGAATGAGGCAAAACCATAGCAGCAGGCAGGTGTTTTATAGGCTGAAACTTCCTGTGTGAACGTATTGAAAGGCGTTGCTCGGATGCCCTACTTTTGGCGAAAACAGTTGAGCCAAAATGCATGATAATCTCCGTAGATTTGAGAAGAACTGTGAACCTCATGAGAAGATGTGGCAAGTACTGAAAAGGAGACGTAAAGCACGATGGGGTCGCGGGGCACTAATGAATCTCCGGTTCCTGGGAGGTCTTGGCTTCGCCGCGTTGCTCGTCAGATGTGCACGTTCATCGGACGTCGCGACTTCCTAAATGACACTCTCCGGAATATGATCATCCTTGAATCGATGAAGGTCAGCACGGCACGCCCCGTAGATGCGAAAACTCCTGCGCAATGTTTTGAGTTTGGTCTTCCATAAGACAATTCGCGGTCAACAAGACGGAAGGCGTGATGATAGATTAGGCCGACGCGGACCGTGGACACGGCTTTCTCCCGAGGCGGCAAGATGTACTAGGCTGAAGAATGGCTATCGATTGGGCGTGGTTACCAAGACCTCGGAGTAGGATGGATGGCATACAGGCCAGGAGGGTTGCATCAGAGAGCCAGAGTAAGCTGATCCCAAGAAGTACACGACAAAGACGTTGAAAATATGGAATTCGTAAGAAAAAGCACTTGCCTTATCAGTGATCACTGCATCAAGGCGAGTGGAGAGATTGGACCGACTTTCAGGAAATATGCAGCGATGTGTCATCAGGTGTACCAGGGTTTACAGCTACTTTCATATCGATAGACCAGAATCCATTTTTGTTCATTCACCGCTTTTGTTTACTTGTGGAGCTGAACAAACAAAAGGGTCCCGCCTATTACGATACTTGGTCCGGCGAAATACCCCAGAATGGTACTGGACTGCGCAATTTCTATGATACAGTATCACAGGTTCCTGTCATATTTATGCATTAATCCTTACAATTGTAACACTATTTTGATGCATGAACGCTACAATTCTAATGCCATTGTTTGATGCATGATGCATGATGCACCCACACCGCATTTTGAGGCACCTACTGTGGGAATTACCCCACAACACTAAAAACATCACCCCATTTGGTCATTCTCCACAATATCAATTATCCCCAACCCCCTCACTACAGCTTCACCACTACACCACAATTAGCTATACATTGCATAGAAGTAGTATTTTAGTATATATGTGTGTAATAGAACATAATAGACCGCTTTTTGTGCTAACTATTGCTCCAATGCCTCCTATAGGCCCTTCCCAGTACAGGGTAGGGTAAAAAACACATTCGCATTTCCCCCCCCTTTGATAGGAGAGTGTTCTAGCACTATTGGAACATATTTAGGAGTATATATCAACATATTACACCGCTTATTTGACCCCCTGAAGGGCCCTACATCAAAATATATAGCATATATACATAAAAACATAAAATAGGTTCGCATTTGTGTATCTCCAGGTATACGGACTTAGTAATACCGTCCCCAACATCTACTCTAACATAGAAACAATGTATCAGGAGCTCAGGGACACAGGACAAGACCTTGTGATGCTGTGTACCCACCCTCTCCTGGTGGTTCATCCTCTGGGAAACATTTTCCTGCAGGAACACAGCTGCAGGAGTATATAGGGATCATTCCTAAGTATATTTAGAGTATTTCCACCAGGTCTGTACATCAGGATACCTACAGGAACCTTCTATACAGGCTAAAACTTCCAAGATCGCATTTTTCGCACTTTTGGTGTTTTTCCCTACTTTACCATTATGCTATATATTTTGATGTAGGGCCCTTCAGGGGGTTGGGGATAATTGATATTGTGGAGAATGACCAAATGGGGTGATGTTTTTGGTGTTGTGGGGTAATTCCCACAGTAGGTGCCTCAAAATGCGGTGTGGGTGCATCATGCATCATTCTAAAGGCCTGATGCATTATGTACAATATTAATGCATCAAACAGTGGCATTAGAATTGTAGTGTTCATGCATCAAAATAGTGTTACAATTGTAAGGATTTAATGCATCAATATGACAGGGTTGCCTGACAGTATACTGCTCATTTGACACTGAATCTGACCTCACTGCTGGTATGACTATTTATCACCAACTCATCATGGTATGTTTAACATTGTCTCTGTTACTGATCATGCCAGCATGAGTTCAGCATTAGTACTCGCAGGTTTCAACATGCTCTGCTCAGGGCTAGCGGCTGGGTTATTAGCACAACGGCTTTCTCGTCTTCTCAAATGTTTGACTTCAATGATGTCAGAATGATCCGACTGATACTGTTCCCCTCATTTGATAGTTATCCCAGAGACTTCAACCCCTCTTGCCTCATGTAGCGCATGTTGCAATTCTGACAAGAAGATGTCTGGAGTACGCTCAATACATGACAACAGGTACTGAGAAGGTCAGGGCAAATTATTGAACATTATATTGACCTATTTTACTTACTGATACATCTATTGCAGTGAGCAGATGAGGACATTGTCATATACCTGATCCGACTGCTCCGACAATATTAATATCCGCTCTGCCTGACTGTCATATCCCATACCTCCGGATCTCCACCACTAAAGTCTGGTTCTCCATCCTGTTATTCTGCCCAGCGCTTCACCTTCGTCTCCGCACTCACCCCTAGCTCCTTTTAGAATAGCTATTGCTCCAGCTACCAGTTATATCCTTTCCACTATGCTTACTGATCCGTCCGTTTGTACTTCATTTCCGACCTCACTGCTTTGATCCGTATACACTTACTAATAGACTTTCCACATACTTCGTACATAGCCCTTACTTTGCTGACTGACTTACTTACATGATACCTACAGTATATAAACTCCTGTAATACTCCGGAACTCCTCAGTTCAAATATCATCTTAGTTCTGCTCATTCCTGCTTCTCTGGACTTGAGTCTCATCTCTTGTCCACCTCCGAGTCTTAGGGGTTAAACCTTAGGACTAAATCTCTGTCTCTACCTTAGGGTAGGTCTAACCTCTGTTCTGTTTCTACTCCGGACTTGTCCATAATAGTCTTACTCTGTTCCCACATAGTCTTCTGGAGTTCCACCGAACTCCCCCAATGTCTGACCTCTGGACTTCCCCTCTGCCCCTTGGAAATTAAGGGCACATACTCGGGTAAAGGGCGCAGCGCACGAGCTGAAGCCGAAGCCCTTTGAGTAACCTCCCCCTTGAGCACAACCTTAACACTGACCTCACACTTTCGCAGTTGGCTCCCGCATCCGCTCCTATGGTTCTGCTCAACCGCCTCGTCGGTTACCCTCCACATCATTTCCACTCCACTGGAACCCCTTTCCCCTTTTAGGTATATACTTTCTCCATTGACACATAGTACTTACTTCCCGGATCACTAGTACTTCCCATAACTGCTCATCTAACTGATCCGACACGTACATATTGATATCCGCTCCAACTTATGTTTTTCACCTGTGTTCACTTACAAATTGTATACTTAGTACATAGCCTCATACTAAGGACTACTAGTCACTGCCTCCTACATAGAAGTATATAAACATACCATGTACTTAGCTACTCTCCAGTCTTAATATTACTGGTCTTCCCGCTGTCTCTACTAGTGGGAATTCTCTGTAGGACTTTGCTCCCTCTCTGGACACAAGTTTACCTTGTTGTCACCTCCAACCTTCCACTCCGACTTAGAGCCATGCTCTAAGTATTCACTCTTACCTCTCCGACCCCATCAATCAATCCCCTTACTCCCTTCTGTCCCAATAAACTTCCTCCACCTCCCCCGCTCTGCTTCTAGTTGGATTACCGCCAGTAGCACTTACCTCCCAACCCACAAAGCAGACCAAAGCGGTCTGCCCGTCCTATCATTGGACATTGTCATACCCGCTCCAAATTCAGGGCATGTACTCAGCTAAGGGTGCAGCACAAGAGCTGAAGCCAAGCCCCGACCCCTCTGCTTCTCCGTCCGAGCACAGTCTCTAACAGACGTCCACTTTCCAAGGGCCTTCTGACAACAGAGCCTGTGAGACGAGAGAGCCAAAGAACTTGGTTGATAGTTTGGTGGCTTGTGTTAGTGACTTGTGCTATGGCCCTGGTTGACATTTGGGCAGACATAGTAATCCATTGTTGCTTTATGGTTGCTGGAATGTGACGGTGGTTTCCAGCCATGGTGAGGATGGTGTCTGAAAAGAGTGTCGAGTGAGAAAGTTGCACAGTCCAGCGCCATTTGGGGGTATTTTGCCTGACCAAGTATCGTAATAGGTGAGACCCTTTTGTTTGTCCAGCTCCACAAGTAAATAAAGCGGTGAATGAACAAAAATGGATTCTGGTCTATCAATATGAAAGTAGCTGTAAGACCCTAGCTAGAGTTGCTCCACTTTTAGTCTGATGATGGCATGGGTTTACAGATACCAGGAATGAAACTCACCAAGTCAAAGGTGAGAGGAACATCAGACAAAAGTTGATGAAAGTTGATAGTAGATGTTGCATTGACGAGGACAACTGGGTGGTGGGACCAAGTTAAAGGTGAAAGGAACATCAGACAAAAGTTGATGAAAGTTGATAGTAGATGTTGCATTGACGAGGACAACTGGGTGGTGGGCATGTCACAATGGCTCATTCTTGGTTTATGTGTACCTCTCACTACTTTTGACCATCTCACCATCACATAGTATACCTGTCATATACCCAATTCAACCACTCCCAACACTGTTCATAGACGTCCCTACTATTGGTCCGACCCCCTGTTTCCCTGTCCGCTCCATCCCTCCATCTCCGACAATGCACGAAGTGCATCTCATCAGGACTAGCCCTGCTACCTCCGCCCGACTCTGCTCCGCTCCTCCAACACTACCCCTATTTCCTCTGACACCATATCCCTACCCTCCGACCCTATCTGGAGCTCCGCTCCTCCACTCCTCTGCTCCATTGGTCTGACCAATCCTACTCCCTCCACCATCTCCGCTTTTCTGACCCACTTGGTTCCTCCAGTTTCTCTCGTATCACCTCACCCGACTATTAGTCTGCCCGACCGCCTCACCAGTCCACTCCTACACTAGGTACCACTCAACTGGTCCTATCTCCATTTAGTATCATAGTTCTTCCTTTTGGATCACTGGTAATTCCTATACTGGAGTGATTACTGATCTGTCGCGTACATACTGTTCTCCGAGCCCTTTCTTGTATGTCTCAGTCATCCTTCTAGTAATTCTGTAGACTCAGCACATAGCCTTCTGCTATGCTATGCCAACTTACTTAGAGTATATAAACATATGTACATCTGTCTGTAGATCTTTAGTCTGAATATTACCTTTCCTAAGCCCTGCTCTTCTGTCCTTTGACTTAGGCTTAACCCAAGTCAACTCCTGTTTGCTGGCCTAGGGGATTGACTCCCTAGGTCGGCCACCTTCTCTGCTTGTCCAACTTCCCGTGCCTCCACCACCTTTCCCATGCGTCGGACGTGTGGTTAAAACTCTTGTACCTCTCTCCTCCGCATTACTAACCTGCATTGGACTTCATCCGAGCAGTCTCCTCCGCTCTGTTCCTACTGTTACCTCCGACTGCAGTAGCCCTCCAACTCTCCCCTGTAGGGTGGCCACCTTCTCTGCTTGTCCAACTTCCCGTGCCTCCACCACCTTTCCCATGCGTCGGACGTGTGGTTAAACTCTTGTACCTCTCTCCTCCGCATTACCAACCTGCATTGGACTTCATCCGAGCAGTCTCCTCCGCTCTGTTCCTACTGTTACCTCCGACTGCAGTAGCCCTCCAACTCTCCCCTGTAGGTGGACCAATCTCTGCCCGACGTTCCCGTGCTTATCTAGTAGTCTGTCTGTCCTCCTTTGGAGGACCTCCACTCTGACGTCCTGTTGGAGCTTGTAGAACTCGAGTCGGACTACAATCCAAAATTAGGGGCATGTACTCGGGTAAGGGGCACAGCATACGAGCTGAAGCCAAGCCCCTCAAACTCCGTCTCACCCCTGAGCATGGTCTTAACAATACCCCCTCTTGTAGTACACCCTGGAATGTTGTCTTGATCGCTACAACACAACTGTATTAAATGTCACATTGGCCAAACATTGTCAATTGAGGAATCTTCCCTACAGTCAGTCTCACACTCCTCCTCAGCCTACTATCAGATTCACTAATCATTTGCTGTAACTGGCTAATGTAAGATGCAACTATTTGATGTCTCATGACATATGATGATGTACTGGTGTACACACCTGGCTATCTGCAGATGAACATTGTTCCTCCCATTGGGTGTCTCATCTCCCCCACCTCCTCACATCAGATTATGCAATGTTCCTGTGCAGGTACTGTGTCCAGACGATGCATATTCCCTTTTTCCAACTGGCTGTTACTACCCTGATATAATCACTAGAATGTCAACCAAGAACAATGAGCTGCACTAACACATAGTTCAGTCATTTCTGTATGTAGAACTGAGGCTCCAGACATGCAAAAACGGTGTAGAATTCATGCCATCCGATGACTGGCTGGTGGACGTAGGAATACTAGTGTAGTGTAATATAAATCCTAAATTAATGATGGTAGTAGGATTATATGTAAAATTAGTCCAGCTGGTGTGAGCAAATGAGTATTATGTTGGAGTCTGGATTGAAGGCCGAAGGTGAGACACCAGAGTGAGACATCAGTAAATACCAACTTTCTCACAGAGGTCACACACTTGGGGTCTTGTGACAGCATACCACAGGACTCCACAGTTCGTGCAGGCTCACAGTTAATAGTCATACAGTTTAACAAGACCCACAATCAACAAGGTTCCTACTGCACCTTAAGTATAAGTATTGTATTTCAAGTAGTGGCATAAATTACTAGCCTGGCAGTACAACTCAGCACTCAAATTTTACCATCATTTGATACTCAGAGCCCAACTCAAACTGACTTGAACGAAAGTGGAACAAAAATTGATTGCATACTAGTAGAAAATGTTTGACTCGAGGCTATTATAAGCCTCACATACAACATATAATCAATACTACATGGATGGGGACAGCATAAACACAAAATGACAATGCAAAACCCCAAATAAATCAAGAACTATTATACAGTGCTGCCCATGTGAGCCTTTCATGCCTGAAGCATCAGAATCAACAGTATTGCAAGAGAACACATACACGCACCACACGAACTCAATTGACCTTGTCCTCATAATGGAGAATTGGGAGGGTGGTGGGACCAACCATGATCTTTGAAGATGATCTCATACATCCCAGCCCAATGTCTGTTTCATTTACGTTCTTCTCGGCAGCTGCTGCATAAACTTTGAGCAGGCTCGCCAACACCTTATTTTCCCATATAACACAATCTGCAAGTGCCTTCTGAGCCAGGAAAACATCACCCTTGGCTCTTATGAGATCAAGCACAATGTTTGCTTTAGAGTCAGTTTGTTTGTGGGCTTCAGGCCATTGCATATAAGGTGTGATGAAGAATGGCAGAAATGATAGATGAAAAGGACTCACAATTGCATTGATAGCTTCAAGAACTTCATATAGGTCATGTATACTGTGAGGTGCTGCCCCATTGCATTCATTGATGGATTGAGAATGGCAGGTAGAGTCATCAGAGCAGAAAGCAAGCACTGACAGTGATCATAAAGTAGTGATATCAAACTTGGGCGATGAGGATAACATGAGAACTCAATGTACATGTGGAAAATGCCAAATTCAGATCGACTTTGCTTTTTCATACTAAGTCTGTGAGTCAAATATCAATATCAGCACCATGGCGCCAGCCCATTGCCCATTGTGTGGACAAGAATTCAAGGACCATACCTCCATCACTTGTCATATGAGCCAACCTCAGTCTCCTCATATTTTATTTTATTTTCTAGCTGTACAATGACTTGGCAACCTGGTGCTCTGATCTGAAGAAAATTGCCATCTCTATCACACCTTTGGCATATGCTCTTTCCCCGCCAGCTGACATTCTGGTCCAAGAGTGTGCAGCTTGGGTTGAAGCTGCCACTGCAGAATTACTGGACAGTGGTAGATTCCTGCACTGTGGACTAGACAAATTGGGGAAACCAGGAATTTTGCACACCCTGCACTTCTTGAGGGTATCGTTATATTCTTCTATACTGGATCTTATTGCATTGCTTGTAGGCGACCAGCCATTTTCCAGAAGGAGGTGCCATTAAAATGCTTAGCTCTTGTTTGCACAGCAGTATGTCCTCGATATTGATGTGTCAATGTTCTGACACATTATTTCAGTTTCATTGTGTCTTCCAGGGCCTCAAGAAAGATGGTAATGGCAAATGTTATTCAAAGTTCACTTCCAAGGAGTATGAGTCCATTTTCCATTCAATGCTCAGGCTACTCAATGATGTCATGAAAGACCCATATCACAGTCCAAAGCTGGTGCAGCAGCTTCATGAATGGGCCAAGGTTGGATGGTCAGGAATATTTTTTGCATTGCATTCAGCCCTAATGAATTTATCCAGGGTAGAGGCAACCAAACCTGATGGCATTGACACGTCGAAACATCACCACCCACGTGTCCAGCCTGATTGAGTTCTCTGGCAGCATTTTTGTAGTGCAAATCATCACATCATATCCTCACATATTTGTATTTGTCTCTTTGCTCGTCATTTACTAGTATCATGTTTCCCACTGATTGAATATACCATCATTTGTTTGCTACTGTATCTGAGTTGAGTAAGCCACCTTCTGAGTGGTTTGTGAGTACCTGCATGAACATGGACAGATCTGTACAGACAAACAGAGAAGAATGATGATATTCAAAACCTCACTGAGCAGGTCTGTGAGTGTCTGTGCAGAGACTGATAGAGAAAGTTCTACTGTGGTGAACTAGCTAGTAGGGACTAAGATGTGTGTATGGCGCACTGTACAGATCCGGACAGATCTAGACAGAGCCTGGTAATTTACTGATGGACATTGCGAGTGCTACCCAAAGGCACAATGGAAGATGAAGTGATATATTACCTATCGCTATGCTAACTACCTTAAAGCTACATGTCATACAAATGAGCATCTCAGTCCCCCATTTTCATTATCACATCAGAGCTAACCATACCCATAGAATATATTTGTGCTAGGTATATTACTACACTTACATTGAGTCCATTTCCTGAGACTGAGATAATATATTTGTTCTAGCTCTCTCCTCATCCGCCACTCACCTAAAATCACTTTAGGTTATGAGCCCTGACTTGACTGCAATGGATACTGCACTCCCTATCTTATCATCACTGTTCAACATCCCAAAGCTAGCCAAAGATGGCTCTAATTGGATAACCTATAAGGAAAGAACATTAACAGCAATAGGGGCTAGAGGCTTGATGCACTATACTGACAGTCGAGCCAAGAAACCCATACCATATGTGATCAATCCTGTCATATCCCATATTTCCAGACCTGGAACTCTGGATCCTCACTTGTTAGACCCAGACTTCTGTCCTAAAATTCTGTCCAGCGCTCCAGTTTCATCTCTGGATCTACACCTATCTCCTTTTAGATCATTGCTCTCTGGCTACCAGTCCTAATCTTTTCCACCTTGCTTACTGATCTGTCTCTCTGCATTCATTTCCGACTTCATTTCTTTGATCCGTTGTATACTTACTAATATACTTTCCACATGCCTCATACATAGCTTTTCACTGTGCTGACAGATTACTTACTTGATACCTACAGTATATAAACCCCTGTAAAACTCTGTACCTCCTCAGTTCAAATATCATCTTAGTTCCTGCTCATTCCTGTTCCTCTAGACTTGAGTCTTACCTCTTGTCCACCTCCAAGTCTTTGGATTTATTCCTTAGACTATATCTCCAGCTCTACCTTAGGGTAGTTTACCTCTGTTCCATTTCTACTCTGGACTTTTCCATAGTAGCCTTACTCTAGTTCCTCTTGAATCTCCAGAGTTCTGCCGAACTCCCCTGGCATCTGACCTCCAGACTTACCCAGACTTCCATTCGACTTTCCTCCTACCTCTTGGAAATTAAGGGCATGTACTCAGGTAAGGGGCACAGTGCACAAGTTGAAGCCAAGCCCTTTGAGTTCTCCTCCCCTTGAGCATGACCTTAATAGATCCTAAGACAAAGGTCAAGAAGAAGCCTGATGGCTCGTTGCCTACGCAGATTGAGTTGGATGAGTTAGATAAGAAGATAGATGAATATCATCAGAAAGACTCACTGGTAAAGCAACAGATCCTTAGCACCATCACAGATTGTCTCCTACTTTGAGTTCAGAAGCTCAATAGCACTTCCACCATATGGGAAAAGGTCTGCAAGATTTACAAGGGCAAAACCGAACTTATCCAGATAGATTTGCAACAAAGACTCTAGGAGTTGAGGTGTCAAGATAGAGTTACCAAATGGTAAAGAACACACCACTGTTACCCTTCGTGACACCTTATATGTGCCAAAAATGGTGTTCACCCTCATTTCGACCCACTGGATCACTGCAGGAGGTCTTTCTATGCGCTGCAATGCGATGTGACTGAGAGAACAAAATGTATTGTGAGGGCTTGAGTGCTAACGACGCTCAACAATGATAACTAACAGAGGCGGAAGGAGGGAAATCGTGCAAGAAAACGATGAGGCAAGGTTGTTGAGTGTTTGGGCGAAAGCCTGCAGGGCTTTTCCGGCCTGAAACCAGGATCCGAACCTAGGAATCAATGTGAGCTGTGTTCCTGAATGTTAGGAGGACTACGACGCATACAGCGAAGCTTGATGCCCTGGGATGAAGGAGTTGTACTCACTTCGAGTGGAGGACTAACGCACTGGTGGCATGGTGTACTGCGTGAAGGGTTCGAGAGCGGGTGAAGACTGGATGTATGGTGCAATGATTTTGGCATGGTCTCGAAGGTACAAGGTAAATCCTTCGCTTGACCATCTTCCCATTGTCTTGACGACGTTGAATGGCACTCTGTGCAAGAGGTACTCTAAAGTTCCTCCAATTTGTAGACCGTGACCCTTGAGGTCTGGGAGTCCTGCTGCTGATGCTGCTAGCAATACTCTCTTTGTGAACTCTGACTTTGACAGAGGCTGTAGGCCTTTCTTGTGCTTCCACATGAATAGATGATCCTCGGGTTTAGCTGCGTTGATTTGAATGTGGTTGGCCATGGCGGTTTTGGGGTCAGTGGGGCCATCTTGGGCTGCCCAGTATGCAACCTCTCCTGCTACTTGGGATGACTTTGTGCTAGGGAGAGCGAAGCTTGTGACTGGTAGACTGTTGCGGTCAGTTGATTCAACCATCCCTGCTCTTGATATGTGCTTTTTTGAGTTGAAAGTTTTGACTGTCCTAACTGTAAACTCTCCTAGCCTCACTATACAGTAAAATGTCGTGGTCATGCAGGCAAAAACCGCTGCATCGAGAGGTTTGTTTAAGTCAAGGTGATTGCATATGTCGGTGATGAACTTGGGAGTGAAGGGTTGTCTCTTAAGGCGTTTAGTGGTTGAGGGAGCTAGGATAGTTGCTCCTCCTAGCATGGTTTTGAGCTCGTCTGGTTGTACTAACCACCCTCTGCCTGTGGAGTAAGTGCCAGGCTTTGATGCCGGCTGTGAAATTGGTAATTGCGGAGCCGGAATAAGCTCCTGCACAGCTGGATAAGAATTCGAGGAGGAGGTTGGGGCTGACAGGGCAATGCTTGTCTTCTTCTATGTGATTGAGGTCGCAGTACACGTGGAACACCAATAGACCTGCTCCGTAAGTCTCCTTTGTTGATTGGGCCCATGTGGCGCCCATTACTTCTAATATGCAGGTCTAGCTGCTCATCTGAAACCTTGTGAGAGTTGGGTGTTTCTGTTGCGGCAGCTAGCTGTCTGTTACTGCTTCCTGCGGGGATCCACAGTCTGAGACGTTCGCGTGCGAGGCAGTGTGGGCGAAGATGGGATGGGTGTGGGGTGAGGCTTGGTCTGTAGCTTTGGGGTGTGGGTGTTAGTACAGGGTGTTCGGATAAAGGTATGCTGAAATGAGTGCGTTTCCTGTAGTCATTCTGCGTCGTCTTGGAGAGCGCAGTTGATGAGTTCCTCTTCTTCTGCTTGTCGTGACTTGTTGTGTTCAGCTGCTTGTTGTCTAAGGAGGGCGCGATTGATGAGCTTAGCTGCGGGAATGGTGTATTTCCCATCGTGCAGTAGCCATAACTCGGTGGTGGAGAGTGGGAGAGTTGCATTGATGATGAATGGGCTAAGTTCAGTGGGAACATCAATGGGAGGGAGAAGAAGGTGGGCGGGTCCAAGTATGCCTCTGGACGGGTCGTCAGCTGGGTTGAATTCACTTGGAACGTAGGTTGTGACAATGTCGAGACGGTTGGGTAGATGGTGTAGGAAGTCATGGATCCTCCAAAAAACTCCGTTGACGGCCTTGTTGCGGTGTCTGTGCTTCCACCAACCTTCGATGACTCCTGTATTGTCTCCGTGGACGAGGACACTTTCGCTAACGCTTGGTAAAGCAGCAATGGCATAGATAAGTAGCTCGAAGCCAATAGCTTCGGCCCATCCAATGTCTCATTTACCATTTAGTGTCTGCCAACCCGGGATTAATCTCCACACTCTCCAGGACTTGCCAATGACAATTCCTATTCCAATGCCGGAGTTCACGTCTGAGAAGGCGAGGGGATTCTGGGGTTGGGATGTGGGATATATGCTTCACACTACTCCTCCTGATTGAAGTAGGTCAGACCACCAGTCTAAATCTTTGCTTATGGATTTTCCCGCTCTGTGTGGTAGGAAAGGTTTAGCTCCATTGGTCAAAAGCATATCTTCGAGGCTTGTGAGGTAAGCTCGTCCTCGAGGTGCTGCGGAAGATGCATGGAGAAGTTTGCTGTATAATTCTCGTATGTCTTGGAGGACGTGCAGCGTGCCTTTTCCTCCATTTGTGAATGGCTGCGAGGTACTTATCTACTTTGGCGGGACTTAAGGCCACTGTCATTAGCTGTAGATTCCATGTGAAGCCTATGTACATAGTGGATGAACCGAAAATTTGATCCTTTAGTCATTCCCATATGATGCCTAGCATGTCTGATAAGTCGTCTAAGTCTTGAAAGCAAAATGTGAATAAAGCATCGTGCGCCGATCTCGGCGAGCGTTGTGATAGGTCGATTAAAGGCTTCGAACAATCTTCGCTAGATTCTTCCATTCTTCTTTTGATGGGGCAGTGTTCTCCAAACCATAGCCTCCCTCCTGACTGTCTTAGTCCGGTCTTGGCAAATTCTTCGTTCCAGGTTGCTCTAACATTGTTGTAGCTTTCGAGGGCCACTCACCTTATCCTGAAAAATATATGGTCGTCTACCCATTTGTCGAGAGGCCCGATTCCTCGGTGATGAAATATTTCTGTGCCCACGTCTGCTAAATGTCCATAAGCTCCTGCTGACGGAGTGGCACCGAAAGCTGTGCAGGTGTCTACAAAGAACTGAGTGTCCGAAATACGAACAATGCTTGCTGGCCATTGAGATGGGTGTAGTGGGACTGTTCGATAAGCTTCCGCTATGTCACGAGTGGCTGCTTCTGACCCTGGGGGAAGAGTAGATATTAATTGGTATATTAATGAGAATTTCCCCCAAGTGGTTGGAAAATTGTTGGTGTCTATGCATGAATTTACTGAAGGATTAGGGAAAAGTGTGCTTGGGGAATGCGGGAACAAGAAGTTTTGGATGATACAGAATTTCCCTGGTTTTCCAGGTTTTGGTATGATGGACAGAGGGGAAGACTGGAAAGGTCCTATTAAGTTTTCTAGAGTGTTAGCTTTGAAGGGGCCAATGTATCTTCCTTTGTCAATCTCTTTTTGGATGATAGCACGAAACTCAGCATCGAATTCGACAATTGAGGGTCTATTAGGTGGGGTTTGTACAATGGATACAGGCGGAAAATCTATTTTGAAACCGGTACGGAGACCTTCGGGTATCTTAGAGAAACGATTAAGGAGTCCAAGATTTCTAAGTTCACGAGTCCATGCATCTACTTTATATGGTGTTAGCAGATTCTGCTTTCTGTGCTCGAGGGCATTTCTGAGCTCCATGTGACGTAGCACCACACCCGGAACAGATGTGCCGAGCGTCATGTCGAGGTACTGTGCAGCCTTCTTCGCGCTGCCAGGCAGTACAGAGTTGCTTTCCGTCTTTGGTCCACAGACCTTTGCAGATCCGCTCTGTGAAAGTCTCATGCTGCTTGTCCCACATTTGGGGAGCCGTGCACTCAATGGTTCTGTGCAGGTTGCGTCCGAGGCACACTGCACAGCAAGGTAGGGGGCCAGATGCAAGAGGAGCACGAGTGGTGCATACCTTCTTGTTGCTGCCCCCAGAATCCTCATCGAACTGCACTGCACGCTTCTGTGAGTTCTGTGCATGCTGCGTTGGTGCAGCGAGTTGAGGGCGTAACGTATTAGTGCTACTGGCAATGAATGCCACTGCCACTTGCTGTAGGAGCACGTCATGTTGGGTTGCATGGTGCGAGGGTTGACGACGAGTGTGATAGCAAGGCACATGATTGGCCATTGATGACAGGTTGCGATAACCCAGGGGGGGGGGGGGGTTCGGATTCGTGATGAATTCCGAAAGGGAGGGGGGGGTTGTTTGTTGGCGCATGATTGGCTGACAGACGAAGGTTTTCAAGGGACAGAGAAAGCATGAGGGGGGAAAGGGTGTGAGCAGGTGCGATGCACAAGGTTGTGATGAGCAAAGGGACACCTGAATATGTTTGGTTAAATACGACTGACCTGGATAGCGATTGCTGTATCCTTGTCCCGCTTCTCATTGAATAAAAACTCCCTCGCTTCGAACAACAGGTCTTGGTTGATTTTCCTCTAAACTCCAGCCTTGCATGGTACCTATTGTGAGGTGCCAACAGCGTCGTTGTTGCGACTGGTAGAGTAGCAAAGCTTTCTGTTGGAGTAGATCCAGTGAGTGGCGCCAACGATGGCCTTGAATGGTCGTCCAGAATTGAATATGCATGTTGACCCTGTCGTCGGGCCAGTCGTGCATCTTCATGAAAACAATGATGCGCGGAGCAGCTTCATTGAATTCTTCCCAGGTGAGGTGCTCGTCCTTAGTGACTGGGGGAGCTTTGGGATCTTTGACTGCCGCGGCAGGAACCCATGAGTGGATTCCATCTGCTGCTGGGAGCATAACAAGAGCATCAGGCTCTGCAACTAGGGCTGAAGCCGTAGCGTCATCGAGTCCCTTGTTGGTGAAGTAGTGTAGCTCACAGTAATCGCTGGCTTTGAGCCTTCTGATGGCATACTGGGCCGGGAGGATGGTAGGGTCGGTTGAATCTTGATGCGCTTGAGGGGCACATACTTATTCTTGTTCTTTTTCCTGTCCTCGATGTGTGCTGCTTCTTCTTCGTCTCTGAGGCCTTGTTGCCTTTGGGCGTCATCCTCTTCTGCTTGCTGACGAGCCTCTTCTAGGTGTTCCTGTCTAGCCACATATTGCAGTAATATATCTCCGTATTATACGAGTGAACGGACGTGCATAATATCCCTGTATGATACGGGCCAGTGGACCATGGGCCGAAGGTAGATATATCCTCGACTATGACGGATGGGCCGGGAGTGTTATTATTCCTGATGGAGACGGGTGGGCCCATGTAGGGAATATTTAGAGTGGATGAGTGGGCCAATGGACATGAATATTCAATAGATGGATGGGCCTGAGGTAGTTGGATATTATGTAGATGGGTTTACCAAGGTAGATGTGTATCAAATAGCCGGGTATGTCAAGGGTGCTTGTTATCACATAGACGGGTGGGCCCAGATATATATCATGTTAGACAGGTGGGCCGACGAATTAAGATTATTTTGTAGATGGGTGGGCCGACATATTGGTATTATTTTGTAGACGGGTGGGCCGAGGGAGTGGTGAAATATTTATTATATATACGGGTGGGCTGAGGGAGCGGTAAATATTTATTATATATATGGGTGGGCCGAAGGTAGTCGTATATTGCATAGATGGGTAGGCCGACGTGGGGGTATATAATATAGACGGGTGGGCCCAGGAGAATGATAATTGTAGACATGATGGAGCTCAGGTAGTTGTATATCATCCAAATCAAAGGAGGTAATAATTCAAAGTCATCTAATGATGTCGTATGGCACTGGAGATTTGCAAAGGGGTGAAGTGGAAACTCGTGTTCCAGGCCCTGTTCATCAAAGCTTTTAGATAGAAGAGGAAGGTCTTGCAGTATGGCACGGAGCCTTGCAAAGGGGTGAAGTGGAAACTCGAGTGAAGTGTACTGAGTTCCGAGACCTGGGTCTCGACAAACGAATATGTGATATCCATCACACTTCCAATCATCTGGTATTTCATTGAGCAATGGATGATAATAGATCTTTGAAAGCCAACATCATCCAAGCCTACCAAATGCCAAATGCCAAGTTCCGACTACCGAAAATCGAGTGGTGTACCTGAGATCCGAGCCCCGACTATTGAATCCCAATTATCGAGTATTGAGTCCCAACTATCGAGTCCCGAACATCGAGACTCGAAACAAAACAAAACTCAAAACTCAAAACTTGGAACTCATATATTTTTGCGAGTTTCGGGTCCCGAACATCAAGTCCCAACTATGGAGTCCCGACTATGGAGTCCCAAAACACGAGTCCTGAACATCAAGTCCCTGACCATCGAGACCCAAAACCCGAAGCCCGAGATTCGAGACTTGAGTTCCGACCATGGACTCCCGGGTATTGAAAATTGAGTGAAGTGTACCGAGATCCGATGCCCGGGTCTCGACAAACGAATATCAGATATCTAACAGACTTCCAATCATCTGGTATTTCATTGAGCAATTGATAATAGATAATAGAACTTTGAAAGCTAAGATCATCCAAGGCTCTCTTATCTGATCCTCTCTATCTCCACCCCTTTAACACCAAAGTGCGGACATCCAGGATTCAGCTTCTGATCTCACAAGATCAATTCAATCATGGATGTTTCTTCCACTTCTGATGATGAAATAACCCTCTTGCGCACTTGGGCCCTGACTGTCACTCATGTGGCATGTGAATATACCGAACAGAAATTCAATGCAGAGAAGACAGGAGGAGACCCAGTTATACCTTCTCCGAACCTAGACACTGATCTGGTGATGGCTTGTGATCAATTGGTTGATCGGCTCATAAAGGCATATAAAAATCCCAGTGAGTCTTCCTGCAGATTCGGAAAATTCAGTTTGATCAGTCAAATTGCTTCATCACAGTTCAGATGCCTGATCGATATTGCAAGATATAGCAAATTGATCTCCCCGAAGGACACAGGGCATAATGAAGAGAGAGAGGCGAGGTTGCTCAAGAGGTGTCCTCCTAGGCCATGAGGGCACAAAGTTGATCGACATACCTGCGACAATTCTTGATGCATCCAGTGCCATCATCGCATGGTACCTCCATGACGCCCTGACCGATGCCACCCAGGTGTGTTATATATATTGTTACTGGATGGATATTGAACATCAAATGGTTCCTACAGAAGGAAATTTGGGCGGCCTCGGATTTGCTCGCTCTGATACTCGAAAAAAGCGTAAAGCTCGATGGGAATTGGCGTACTAATCAAAAGTGGTTCACACCAAGGTCGCAAAATGATGTCCTAACTCCCGGATGCATTAATTTATCTCCGGCGTGGTTTCAGCAGGGGCACAAGGTAGGATCTGATGAGATGGCGATCTAGGTAGTTAAGCTCACGAATCCCCCAGAATCAGGTAGACCCGGCGGTTTCTGCATCATTGAATGGAGCATCCTTGGAGGATATCCTGAAGGCCATTGCGAGGCCAGCAGCCATTGCAACAGCGGCACTCAGGGTTATGCATCCTGAGCAGTACTGGGCAGGGTTGCGAGCCTTTGCGAGCCTCGAAGAAAAAGCATGAAGCAAGCAACTGCTGAAGATGTCAGAGACTCTCCAGTACTGGGCAACTGTGTTTAACAGCCTCTCCGTGATTTGCAATCGGGAAACCCCAAATCATCGAGACCATTCATCAATTCCCAAATGCTTCGATATTCTCACTAGCGTGGGGAATTATTCTAATGCTCGGATGAGTATGCCAAGCCTTCAGCTGGAGTTCAGGTACGATCCGGGGTGTATGATTGCTTTTTCGGGAAGGATTGTCAGACACGGGGTTCATGCAGTGGAAGTGGATTGGATTGCCTGGGCATGGTATATGAGGGATGCTGTTCATATTTATGCCGGGATTCCGTCGTGTGGATGGGCAAGGTTGGATTGGAAGAAGTAGAAAAGGTAGTTACACGTGTTAGTACCCACCTTCAAATACATGATATTAGATATCAGGCACTCCATACTTGTAATTCGGGTTTCGGGTTTCAGGTCTCGATAGTCGGGACTCGATATTGCAGGATACTTGAAAGTGTTATTGTACACATTTCACCGACTACCGAGTACCGGGTTTCGGGTTGCGGTACTCGGCCCAACCAACGAGTCCCGATGATCGAGTCCTGAATATCAAGACCCGAAGCCTGACGATCAAGTCCCAAATATCGAGACCCGAGACCTGAAGCCCAACCATCGAGTCCCAAATAACAAAACCCGAACATCGAGTCCCAAAGCCCGAATCCCGACCATTGAGTCCCGAATATCGAGACCCAAAACCCGAAGGACGACATTCGAGACTCAAAACAATGACACTCATGCATTTTAACGAGTTTCGAGTTTCGATTTTTGAGTCAAGAAAATACACATTTAATGAAATACAATTTTGGGAGTTGTCTTCTTGAATCACCGAGTACCGAGTGCCGAGTACCGCAACCCGAAACCCGGTACTCGGTGATTCAAGAAGACAACTCCCAAAATTGTATTTCATTAAGTACCGACACCCGACACCCAAGTACCAACACCCGAGATTCGGTACTCGGTACTCGGTACTTGGGTGTCGGGTGTTGGGTGTCGGTACTCAGATTTATGCGAGTTTCGAGTTTCTTGATTCGAGTTTCGAGTTCGAATCGAGTACCGACACCCGACACCCGAGTACCGATGATACACACGAATCACCGAGTACTGAGTACCGAATCTCGGGTGTCGGGTGTCGGTACTCAGGTGTCAGGTGTTGGTACTCGACTTGAAACTCGAAACTCGAACACACGAATCACTGAGTACCAAGTACCGGAGTACCAAATCTCAGGTGTCGGTACTCGGTACTTGGGTGTCGGGTGTCGGGTGTTGGGTGTTGGGTGTCCCGGTACTCGATTCGAAACTCGAAACTCGAATCAAGAAACTTGAAACTCGCATAAATCTGAGTACCGACACCCAACACCCAACACCCGAGTACCGAGTACCGAGTACCGAATCTCGGGTGTCAGTACTCGGGTGTCGGGTGTTGTGGGTGTTGGGTGTCAGTACTCGATTCGAAACTCGAAACTCGAATCAAGAAACTCAAATCTTGAAACTCAAAACTCGCATAAATCTGAGTTTCGAATCCCGAGACTCGAATCACCGAGTACCGAGTACCGAGTACCGAGTACCCGAATCTCGGGTGTCGGGTGTTGGGTGTCGGGTGTTGGTACTCGACTCGAATCTCGAAACTCGAAACCCAAAACTCGCATAAATCTGAGTACTGACACCCAACACCCGACACCCAAGTACCGAGTACCGGTCAGGACTCGATGTTCGGGACTCGATGTTTGGCACTCGATACTCAATGGTTGGGACTCCATACACGGGCATCGGGCATCGGGTTTCGGGCTTCGGGACTCGATAGTCGGGACTTGGGTTTCAAGACTCGGTAGTCGGCACTCGATACTCGATAGTGGGGACTCAAAACTCAAAACTCGTAAAAATGTTTGCGTCAAGTTTTGAGCATTGAGTATTGAGATTTGTGTCGAGTCTTGAGTCTCGAGTCTCGAATCTGAATCTTGGCCTTCGGGCTTCAGGTCTCGATATTCCAGTCTTGATATTTGGGACTCGATGTTCGGGACTCAACATTCGGGACTCAAGATATCTGGCTCTCAATACTCGACATTGGGTATGCGGGACTCGGCATATAGCAATAGGTCATATATTTGGAAGTCAGTGTTTAATTTTCAGTACTTATTACATCATGTACAGAATTTAGACTTCAACATTCTGAACTGAAGGACTAGAACTACTCTGGTCCCCTTGGCTTCAATTTGGTTAGGATGGCTGTGTACATCTGAATCTCGGCCATCTTTTCACGGATGCCATCTTGTTGATACTCAATCACTGTCAGGAGGTGTTCTCTCATCCACCTCAGTGCCTTCAGTGATGCAACCGAGCTTTCAGCCACCTGCTCGGGAACAACAAGATGTTCGTCCTCAACGCCAGACTAGAAAGGATCAGTAACCATTCAAGGAAATTCGGTAAAAGTCTTACTAGCCAATGCTGGTAGTGACAGACACAATTGGCGAATACCTGATCCCATGCCCATAATTCCTTCGGGATTGCAGTTGGTCCGGTCCACCATTGAGTTCCATAGGTTGATACAATCCGGGAGGGATCCCCCAGATCTGCAACATCATGGAACTCGCACAGGTGGGATGAAAAGATGTCGTCCGGAACCATGTTCCAGGTGAGCTCGGGAATCAACCGAAGAATATGAGTGACCGGGCTCGGAACAACCAAAATGATGTTCCTTGCAGCTGAGTACTGCAGGAGGGGAGTCACAAAAGTCTGTTGGAAATGTCAGCATTGACCACCACAGTCATCAGTCTCTTACAGCTATCTCCCATTGCAGCCCGGCTTTAAAGTGCATGATCCAAGCAGCAGAAGGCTCCTCGGTGTGGGTAGCCTCCATCTGATATTGAGAGATGGATGCTTGGATGCGAGATACAGCCATCGACATTGTAGCTGCAAGATCTGCCGGAGTGAGTGTGAGGGGTCGGAACCCATCGCTGGAATTCTGATAATCAGAAGGGGATGTAGGAGGAGTATGTGATACAGACATGGTTAATGCAGTATTATGAAGCTGGAAATGACAATCACAATGGCAGTTGGTTCGGAGGTGAAGATATGAGCCACAGGTTGATGGATAAAATTTTTCAAACTCCGACATTTTTGGATCTGGGCAAACTCCATCATCGGTCGACCCGGCCAATTCCCGGGACTAAAATGTTTGGGTCGATGTAGCTGTTTCATATCTTCGGCAAAAAAAATTCATTCATCTCGAGCCTCTATAAACCCGCTCTTCTGGTCTTGAAATGCTGCCTGGGCATCCTGTGCCAGCAATGAATACATTTGGGATTGCCTTCCCGAGTAGCATGCATGACCTGGAAGGTTTTTCACCAATGATTCGCGCATCCTGTCACCCCATTGGGTTGCTTTCCACAAGAAAAGGTTACATGTCCAATCCATCTCCAATTGGACCAACATCATTTCTTCCTTCCATCGATCCCGTAGGGCCTTTGCCCAAAGCCAATGCACTCGGTAAACTTCGGAAGGGTCCGTCAGCTGAGCACAGGATATGTCAAGCATGCCAGAACTCACATTCCTCATTCCACAAGTGATCAGGACCCTCCAGGTCGACTTCGACTGACCAGAACCAAGCGAGGGACTCGTTTCGCTGACCTCGGGCATTTGGATCGCCAATGGCAGTGCTGATTTTGAGCTGCTCCCGAAGCAGGGGTTTGTATTTCTGAAGCTGGTCTTCCCCCGGCTCAAGTTGCATCATTTGCTTCCTCATCTTCATATATATACTGGCATGGAGGGACACTGCCTGCTGCACGGACGTCACCTGGGACCAAGCTCGAGTTTTCAGGTCCGTGGGGGTATTTGGCTTGCCTAACTGTTGTTCGGAACAGAATGCACCTTTGTGCCACAAGTGAAATTCGGAGGTGTGAAGGGAGTCATCCGGCCTGCCCTTCATGAAGAGACAATCTCCAGTGGAATGAGATCCTCGTGCCCATGCAGCGTCCTGCATATCGACTCATCACTACCCGAGGTTGGATGGCAATGGGGATGACAGTGAGCTCTGTGGAGTTCGCCCATGTGTCAGATGTCTCGGTGAAGTCTGCCAAGTCATCATTGAGATCATCGAGAATGTCTACGTTCAAGTCATCAGGATCGTCAATCTGTAAAGCTATGTACCAAGGATATAATTTGTAAGTACTTTACACAGGCGAAGACATAAGTTGGAGTGGATATCAATATGTACGCATCAGATCAGTGATAGGGTGGTAAGAGGATTTACCGGTGATGTTAAGGTTGTGCTCAAGGGAGAGGTTACCTCAAAGGGCTTCGGCTTCAGCTCGTGCGCTGCGCCCCTTACCCGAGTATGTGCCCTTTAATTTCCGGGGGACAGAGGGGAAGTCCGACGGAAGTCCAGGGAGTTCCAGAGGACTTAGTGTCGGTGGAGTTCGGCAGAACTCTGGAAGGTTTTATGTGGGGACGGAGTAAAGGTACTACGGAAGTCCAGAGTAGAAACTGAACAGAGGTTAGACTACCCTAAGGTAGAGCTGGAGAAGTAGTCCTAAGGTTTAACGCCTGAGACTTGGAGGTGGACAAGAGGTGAGACTCAAGTCCGGAGATTGCAGGAATGAGCAGAACTAAGATGATATTCAAACTGAGGAGTTCCGGAGTATTACAGGGTTTATATACTGTAGTTATCATGTAAGTAAATCAGTCAGCAAAGGTAAGGGCTATGTACAAAGCATGTGGAAAGTCTATTAGTAAGTGTAACAGATCAAAGCAGTAAAGTCGGAAATGAAGTAGGAATGGACGGATCAATAAGCATAGCAGAAAGGACATAACTGGTGACCGGAGCAATAGCTAATCTAAAAGGAGTTAGGGGTGAGTGCGGAGATGAAGGCAGAGCACTGGGCGGAATAGCAGGACGGAGAACCGGACTTTAATGGAGTAGATCTGGAATTCCGGATCCAGAGGTATGGGATATGACAGTATCCCCCCCTTAGGGCCGAGCCCACAAGGCTGGGGGTCTGGATCATCGGTTAGGAGCATGAGGCATTGGAGTTTCTGCAGTGATGGTAGAAATGTGCCAGAGGTCTTTGGAGACAGAAAAAAACTGTTTTTCCCTCCTTCTACTCTCTTATACAGTTTATCATGCCCAACAAACCTGAAGGCGTCAAGAAGTCCGCCAAACAGGCCATGGAAGAAAGGCAGGTGGAAATGGCGGCGGAGTTCGCTCGCCTACAGGAGGCCGTTCATCTGGAGGAAGAGGAGGAGCGCAGACAGAGGGAGGAGAAGAAGATCAAGGTGGAGGAAAAAACGGAGAGCAGCGGCGGAACGGAAACGCGAGGAGGAGCAGAAACAGAGGGACATTGAGGAGACGCGGAGAAGGGTACTGGAGTCGGCGTCATTGGGGCGCATGGGGGTGTCGATGGTAAGTTAGATAGCTTGTTGAATGTTTGTTGGTACTTATCCAGATATCAGGTTACTAGTCAGTCCAGCAACTCCGAAGGTCCGGAGAAATCTTGCAGCTCCTGTGTGGAGCATAAGAGGGGACTGTACCTGGACTCAGGCGTCTAGGTCCAACAGGGTAAGCATGCTTTGGTTCTTTCTCCAGAGTACTCTAATAGGTGGTCTGGTAGATCCAGAATTGCGACGTGTGCCTTCAGCTGAAGGCGCAGTGCTCCAGCGGCGTTCCGCCAGTTAGTATCGACAAGGGGAAGAAGCGGGAGCGAGCGGAGGGGACCCCATCTCCCCGGGCAAAGGGGAAGAAGCGTCAGCAGAGCCTGGTGGAGATGGACGACGACGTGGAGGTGATTTCCAATCCCCAGACCGTGATCGCGGAGGAGGGCAGATGGACGGAGTACGACGACCAGGCCTGGGTGGCCACTGCCAACAACATAGTGGCGGCATTGGCACGGACCAATGGACTTCTGGAGCGGAGTATCGCTGTGGCGGAGGGGAGCAGAGCGGCCATGGATAGGTTCATGGAGGAGCAGAGGGCTTTCCAAGCCTTATTCCTGGAGGCGGCGAGGAACGGCTTTCACGTGGAGGCGGCGGAAGAACCAGAGGAAACGGAGGTGGAGGTGGAGGGTGGGAGCGGTGCTGGGGTCTCTGGCGGAGATATGGAGACTGATGACCTCTAGATAGTCCTGTACTCCTTCGTATCCGGTTGTACATATGTGCTCATTTTTTTGTAAAATGTAACTTGTTGCTGATTTTGTTCGGTAGTCGGAGGTGTTCGGAGATACGGAAGTCTGGAGGTCAGGGTATGAGGTTGATTGGTTGAGCACGGTGTGACAATATCCCCCCATTAGGACCGAACCCCTGAGGTCCTAGACAAATTCCCAGATGTTGGGGAAATGGTAGACGGATGTTGCCAGTGGAACCAAGGCATGTGGAACAAAGTCCACAGCGCGAGGTGGGGAAATTGTGCTGCGAGGCAGATGGAGACAATGAAGTTTGGACTGGAGTGGATTGCGGGGTACAGAGCGGAGTTTCCATGGTGACGGATTACTACTATAAGAGTGTAGGAAGGGCAGGGTTTTTTCTAACTTTTTTCTTCACTGAATATGTCTGCTCCCCGCGAATTTGACTTTGCCGGTATGACCACGGTGGAATTGAAGGAGTTGATAGCCGCGGTGAGGATAGTGGAGGAGAGAAAGGCCGCAGAGGCAGCAGAGCAGGCCAAGAGGGCGGAGGAGGCAAGAATTGCTGTGGCGGTGGAGAGGGCAAGGTTAGCGGAGGAAGCACGCAAGGCGGCGGAGGTGAGTTTCCTTTCTATCTGGTACTTGTGTGATACTGATGTCTATGGTAGGCGCGGAGATTGGGGGTCTCGGAGGCTGCTCCTCCAGTGGTCATGTGCCAGCAGTGTGAGGCCACCAGCCAGGCATGTACATGGGCGCTGGTGCAGGAGGCCCAGGCGAAATCCAAAGTAAGTACTTTTGTCATTTCCATTGCGCCAGTGATTGACCAGAACAGAGCAGAGGCAGGGCCAAGGCAAAGGCCTGTGACCAGTGCGCGGGCCTAAAGGCCTCTTGTAAAGTCGACGGGGATGATTCGCAACCGGCCGTACTGGCAAAGAGTCGGAAAAGGACATGGGAACGGGCAGCGGAGTCCAGTGAAAGGATGGAGGAAGATGTGGGTAGGCCTTCCCGGAGGAGGAGGGTGTATGGGGAGGAGGAGTCCATTATGGAGGTCGATGACCAGGAGTGGGTCAAGGCCGCTAACAACATGGTCCTGGTGCAGGCGGAGACGAACACGAAGCTGGGGGCCCTTGCGACAGCCATCACCCATCTCGCCGAACAGCTGGAACTACAACGGGTGGAGCAGAAGGAGGAGAGGAACGAGGTCCGAGCGGAAATCCGGGAGATCCTCCGCGTGACCAGAATCGCACTGGAGAGGGGCTTTTTGGGTCGGGGAAAGAAACGGGAGGTTCTTGGGAAAAGGGGAGAGATTGGGACGGGAGCGGTGGAGGTGACCGAGCTTACTACCAGCTCTTCTGGCAGTGATGCAGAGAAGCCGGATGAAGAATCGGAGAGTGAAGCAGAGAAGGGGCTGGATGGAGAAGAGACAGGGGCTCAGCTGGAGCCGGGAACAGAGCCGGAGGAAGAGGTGGAGATGGAGGCCTAAGTGTAGCTAATTCCCGTTCTCCTATCCAGACCTTTATGTACATAGTTGTATACACGTTGAAATAGGCTGTTTCACTTGCTTTTGAAATCGAGTTTTCAGAGGTACCGGTGGAGAAATGAATGGAAGTCTGGTTCTGCCGGTGAACGCAAGGTTCGGAACTCCATTCCAGAGTCCTTGGTAGGACGGAGTAACTGGTATCGGAGGGTGGAGTTTCAGTATGACAGACAAGCAGAGTGGAGGTAGGAGGAAGTGGGCGATAGAATTTGGGCAGAGCGGATATCAGTGATGTCGGATTTGTATGGAGAGCAAGGACAGATGGGGAAAAGAGGAGAGGTCATGTGATCCTACCAGTGGCTTTGAAACCAACCAAATGAACTTTTTTCAGCAAATTGCGACTTCATCTTCTTTTAATGACACTCTCAGAAGATCTAGTTGACACTGGACTTGGCATGGTCCTTGGTGTTGCTGCCTTTGTAGTTCTTTAAGCACCATTAGAATACCTCCAACTGGTTTTCCTGGAGTGGGTTACTCCTGGAAGCGGTGAAGGTGACATTGAGATGTTGAACATGGGGAGGGCAGGGTCCCAGGATGAGTCTGGTACATTCTTTTCACTCAGTCCATGGTCCACTTTTTTGATGTTCTGTTCAAGGAGTGTAGACGATTACAGACATCCCATGAAGTCGTGGTGTCCATACAGGGGACGTTCAATGTCCAATAATACAGCTGTTCCATAGGAGGTGTTCCAACCCTGTCCATAGTAACAGAGGACGATCCAGGAGTATATGGAGAAGCAAGATGGAGTTCCCTCCTGATGGAAGACTTTCCAGGAGGCGGCGGAGCAGAGGAGGAATAGGAGCGGAGGAGGCGAAGCGGGGCGGAAATCAGAGGAGGAGTAATCGGAGTGGAGGAGTATAGGTATATAGATGAAGTGGGGTAACTTGACTTGGGAGTTGGAAGAGGATGGGTGATAAACCAGTGCACATATATGAGAGGCTTGCTCATGTACATGGACTAGTTTATCTAGTGTGAATCCAGGACATAAACCGGTGGAGGAGGACATGGCTAGTCCAGGAGACAGGGGTTCCGCAGTGAAGCAGGACTTTCGGACAGTCGGAGGTCAATGGCATTTCCAGTGGTAAAACCCGGAAAAAGGTGTCTGCTCTATACCCTATCAATCAACGGATCGTGGCAGGAGAGCAGGTGGTATTCCTGAGTGGTACTAGGAGAATCCAAAGGGAATTGAATGTCAAGACATTCCGGAGGTGACTTGCCAGTATGAAGCAGCGGAGAAATCAGATATAATAGGAACCCAGAGATAATTATGTAGTGTTCTGGAGTAGGATAGTTATGATCAGGAAATCAGGCCAGAAGGATTGGACATAGGAATACGGAGTTTTATTGGAATGGAAATTTTGTAAGGATGAAGGATCCTAAACAATAATGGAAGGGTCGGAGGAAAAATCGTAGTTTATGAGGGACAGGAGTTTAAACCTGATGGAGAAGTAATTCTCAGACATTAGTATACTTGGTAAGGTGTGAGTTCGAATATACTGTTAAGGTCGTGCTCAAGGGAGAGGTTACTCAAAGGGCTTCGGCTTCAGCTCATGCACTGCACCCCTTACCTGAGTACATGCCCTTTAATTTCCGGGGGACAGAGGGGAAGTCTGACGGAAGTCCGGGGAGTTCTGGAGGACTTAGTGTTGGTGGAATTCGGCAGAACTCTGGAAGGTTTTATGCAGGGACGGAGTAAGGCTACTATGGAAGTCCAGAGTAGAAACTGAACAGAGGTTAGACTACCCTAAGGTAGAGCCGGAGAATTAGTCCTAAGGTTTAACCCCTAAGACTTGGAGGTGGACAAGAGGTGAGACTCAAGTCTGGAGATTGCAGGAATGAGCAGAACTAAGATGATATTTGAACTGAGGAGTTCCAGAGTATTACAGGGGTTTATATACTGTAGGTAACATGTAAGTAAATCAGTCAGCAAAGGTAAGGGCTATGTACAAAGCATGTGGAAAGTCTATTAGTAAGTGTAACAGATCAAAGCAGTAAAGTTGGAAATGAAGTAGGAATGGACAGATCAATAAGCATAGCGGAAAGGACATAACCGGTGACTGGAGCAATAGCTAATCTAAAAGGAGTTAGGGGTGAGTGCAGAGATGAAGGCGGAGCGCTGGGCGGAATAGCAGGATGGAGAACCAGACTTTAATGGAGTAGATCCGGAATTCTGGATCCGGAGGTATGGGATATGACAGGTGATCCGGAAGTAAGGGTCTATGTACCGAAGGCACACCTTTCAGTCTTATGGTACTGCATAACCTGTTGATAGGACATGTACATTGACCTGCAAAACCAGGTGTACAGGACACCGGCCGGCCAATGCACTGCCTGTATAGGCCGGCCATGCAGAACCTGTGCAGGCTGGTGTCCTATATACAGAATGATATCTCTGCACTGCCTGTATAGGCCGGTCATGCAGAACCCTTGCAGGCCAGTGTCCTACATACAGAATGATATCTCTGCAGTATCTGTGTAGGCTGGTGATGCAGACCCTTGCAGGCCGATGCCTCAGCCAGATCATGATATCTCTGCAGTATCTGTGTAGGCTGGTGATGCAGACCCTTGCAGGCCGATGCCTCAGCCAGATCATGATATCTCTGCAGTATCTGTGTAGGCCAGTGATGCAGACCCTTGCAGGCCGATGCCTCATCCAAATCATAATATCTCTACACTCCCTGTATATGCTGGTGATGCAGAACCCTTACAGGCCAATGCTCCATATAGAAAATATATCTTTTGCTGATGATGTAGGACCCCTGCAGGTTCATGCCTCATATAGAGAATGATATTTCTATGCTACTTATATAGGTCAAACCAGAATATTGAAGTAGATCTGGCCAACCTGCACCCTCAATATTTATGCAGGCTGTCCTAAATGCTCTAATATCAAATGAGATTCCATACAGGAGTAGGTCTAGCCAACCTCACTCATGTAATAAAACATATATCTCATATGGGATAATATAAATGGTGACTGAACAAAAAACAAAAATACAGTCTACTTACACTCCTTATCTCGTATGGGATAGTATAAATGGTGACTAAAATAAGTAGCATAGAAATATCATTTTCTATATGAGGCATGAACCTGCAGGGGTCCTACATCTATCCCATGAGATATATCTTTTGTTACATGAGTGAGGTTGGCTAGACCTACTCCTGTATGGAATCTCATTTGATATTAGAGCATTTAGGACAGCCTGCATAAATATTGAGGTCTACCTACACTCCTTATCTCATATGGGATAATATAAATGGTGACTGAATAAAAAATAAAAATACAGTCTACATATACTCCTTACAGGTGACTAGGGAAGCTGGCTTAATGAGCCAATATGTTATTGATAGGCCAGCCGCCCATGGCCTACATACTGCACAGACTGGCTGGCCCAATGGGCCAATATGTTATTGATAGGCCGGCCGCCCATGCCTCACATACTGCACAGACTGACTGGCCCAATGGGCCAATATGTTATTGATAGGCCGGCCGCCCATGCTTCACATACTGCATGGACTGACTGGCCCAATGGGCCAATATTTTATCAGTAGCCCGGCCGGCCATGTCCTACATACTGCATAAACTGGGTGGCCCAAAGGCCCAAAAAGTGTTCAGTGGGGCGGCCGCCCCTGTTCTACATCCCGTATAGGGCAGCTGGCCCACTAGGCCAATATAATACCAGTAGGTCGGCCGGCCATGGCCTACATGCTGCACAGACTGGCTGGCCAATAGTCCAATAAGGTATCAGTGGGTCGGTCATTCCATCTATGCATCCTGCTAAAGTATTGTCAGTGCTAACATCAATGTTACTCAAAAAGACATGAAAATTCAAGTGTATCTGACAACAAACTGCAAGAAGGGGATTCTAAGGTATTGTGCTAATGATGATGTCTCAGTTCTTAAACTTCTTTGAAGCTGCTCTGTCTCTGGTAGAGCAACGAGGAGGATCAGGAGGAGCAGATGTCTTCACCTTTTTCATGACTGAATCATCCACATCTGTTGCTGGGCATTTACCCTTCCCTTTTCCTCCAGTGTTAGTACTGCTTGCCTTCTTTGATGTGGCAGCCCTCTGATCAGTCATCTGAGATGCCTCAGCAACCCTCTTCTCCTCAGCCACCCTCTTTTCCTCAGCCACCTTTGCCTGCTCTGCCTCCCTCCTCTCTTTCACCTGCCTTTTGTTCTCCAGATGCCTTATGTGAACTTCTTCCCCCACTGTCATCTGCTTCTCATTACCATCTGGCAGCATTGTGTCCACCTTCACCTGGATTCTGATAATGGCCTCTTCAACCTTGTCCCCCACCTCGAAGCCAAGGATGGAGTCGCCCAAATATTGAGGCACATCATCTCCAGCCTCATCTGCTTCATACTCCTGAGCGCGGCAACACTCACGAATGAGGAGTCCAAGGCCCAGGACAACAATCATACCCAAACCACGAGATTTGATGACATAGTTGCCTAGTTCCTCCAAAGCGACAGAGGAAGCCTGAATATCACCGTGCATATTTTGAGGTAGATATGCCTCAGACCACATCCAAGATGCCCAGACAGGCAGATGTTGCTTCCTAGCCTTGCCCTTAGGATCAGGAGTTTGCTTTCAAAAAATAGTCAATTTTAATGCTGTTATCACAAATGTAGTGAATTATACATACTGTCTTGGAGAGTTTTTGAACTGTGGCCAACAGACGAGAATATGTTGGGAGGGTAGAGAGGGATTGAAGATAACCGACTGTGTCACCACCCATATGGAATTTCGGGCAGGAATCGGAAAGAGATGGGGTGTGGCTTTCCAAGTCATCCTCTTCGTCAGAAGAACCATTGGCTTGGGGGGCCTTCTTCAGTACCTCGTCCTCATCTGATGATACTTCGACATATTTTGGGTTCTTCCTTGATTTTTTACTTACATCCCCCTTCTTAGCCAGTGAATCATAGAAGTCGCCTTCCTTATACCCAACGAACCGGACAATTGGTTCATTATGGTTAGCACGATATTTCCAAAGTGAAAAAATCATACTGATGGCTTCCTTCTGCAGGTGAGAAGGATCCTTGATGACGACATTTCGAGGAATACAGTCCATGTCAAGGTAATGGTCTGGATCTTGGGTAATATGACCCCAGGGGACTGCAGCCCTAGGGTTGTTTGAGATGACCACTGTTGAATGTAAGCGGTCAGAAAAATACAGTACTTCGAAAATAGAAATGAATCACCATAAGCCTTTTGAAATACCTTTCATACGACCTTCTGCTGGTTCTTGAGCATGAGAGATTCAAAGCCTGTCGGTAGGCAAGGATAGCCCTCATCGTCTACCTCCACTGTTAAATCGGGCAACTTCTCATCTTCCTTGTCAGATTGGTCCTCAGCGTCTAAGCCTGTTGCTAGATCATTAGCAATTAAATAAATTACTGTATCCAAGACTTACTATACTCGGCTTCATTCAGCCAGTCAGCAAGTCGGTCTTGGGACTCTCCAGCCCATTTCTTGTTGTCTTTGGTAGCCAGAGTAAAAGTTTTCTTCGCCTTCCTGGGACAGGATTCCCAACTAAACCAATAGATTGTCAATGGTAATGTCAATGGGAAAAAAATAACACTGACATGGTTGTTCCAGGCATTTTCCCCTCCCCTCAATCATGAGCTACGAGCATCACAACATGTAAACCCATGGTTCTTCCTGCCATCTTTATGAAGTCCTCCATGATTTTCTTCTGGTGTCGGCTGCGGTATCTGTAGATACACATGAGTTTTTCCTAAATATAGCAATGTAGTGTTAAAAAAATACCTGTCCTTGGCGTCAGAAAGAGCACCTTCCTGGTTCCACTTTTCTGCCACAAGTCTGAGCTCCTCATGTACATCTGGTGACAGGGCATTGTACCAGGACCGGACCAGCTTTGTCCTTGTCCCCATGGACCTTAGGTCAGAGGTGTCACGGTGCTTCTTGTCATACTCCCCAATTTCTTCTTTGAACAACTTCTGTGCGACATCAAAAGGAGAGAATTCGGTCTTGAATGCTGCAGCATCCAGAGGCTTGTCATCCTGACAGCCTTTGACCATATCTACAGTGATGATGCCTGCACCAGATGTGAGTTTATGAGCTCCCTCGATGATTTTTTGCTCAAGATCGCGGTCCTCGTCATCCTCCAGAAAACGCAAGTAATATGTACGGATAGCCTATAAAATTAGATTAATATAGACAAAGAGACTGGAAGCTCACCTTCTGAATGTTATTGCCTGGAAGCATAGTCGAAGCATCCTTGGCCTGGTCACTTTCAAGTATGGCATCTTTGATGCTTTTGAGGATTTTTGCCCTCTCAGCAGGGTTTCCTTTAGCTGAAACATAGGAAATCTTGTGCTCATCCAAAACAGCCTTGAATACATGTGTCCAGTCAGCCATTGTATGCAAAAATCTTGAGAATGGAGGCCGGTATAAGTTTGCAGAATGTGTAACCAGTACCAACTCACTTGACAACAGATCAACAAACCATGTCACATGATCAAAACATGGTCACATGCTCATCAGGTGACTATCTTGAGGTCACATGATTCAAATAACCAGCACAAAATCACCTAAGTATAAATCTGACCGACTCACAAATTCAATGACATTAGCTTATATACCAAATCTCAAGATTCAGACACCAAACAAATGATTACTCAAACTCAGAACAATGATAACATGAAGCAAAGTACAAAGTAAGACAGATATTCAAGAAAAATATGTAAATCAAGCCAACTGTGTCTCCAATGGAATATCCAACCAAGTACTACCATTCTTCCTACCAGAATAAAGTACTGTGGACCCTGGTGGCTGAGAGAATGTATGGCTTACATTGCAAGAGTCATTTTTGCACTCAAAAATATAAGCCTTGTCCTTGCTGCCTTTGACATAGGCGGACCTCCAAGAATTAGCCCAACCACACCCACTGCATTGGATAGGCAGGCGGTGGCCCCAAGGATGGAACTCCACATTAGCCCATGCAAACCTAGAGCAAGTGAGGGCGCCCTCCTTGACAGGTGTCAGCAGATAAATGTCAGAGTGGCGACCAAGGTCACAGGCTTGTGCAAGCATATCCTTGAATGCTAAACAAAGTGGGCAACGTCCAATGAGAACCCTCTCTGTGAACGCAATGAGCAAGTGCGAGGTGAAAGAGGGCTGAAACCGAGGAGCATTGAATGTGATGGTACCAGGTTAATTTGTGTCTGTAGGAACATTAGATGATGTCAAATAAACTGGAAAAAAAAAACTCACCGGACAACAGCCTCTTGCAAGCCATGGAATGAGTCCAAGTTGGTGACAAGGTGGCCACAACAGAACATCCAGAGGTAGGATTCCTGGGCGGCATCAATGAGAGTTTGCCAGGGTTGGAGAATTATTTCCAAGAACTGTAAAAAGGGTCACTTATTGGCGCACTATGAAAGAAAAAAAAAAACTCACATCATTGACCGGAGTGCTGATATAGCCCTCTGAGGCATCATCCTCATACCCAGTAAAAGGGTCTCCAAAATCCTCATCAGTGTGAGTAGAGACGCCAATCACAACACGCTCCCAGACAAAGGACTTCTTCAAACCTTTCATTATCTTCTGGATGTTGCTGTGGTAGGCAGGAAGCTTGGCATCAGTGCCAATGTCATAGTAGACGTTGAGATACTGGATGCGGTCGCCAGTATAGTAGGGCTTGAGGAAGGAATGAGCAAACTCCATAGGGCTACCAGCCACTGTGAAGTCGACGAGGATGAGGTGAATGAAAATGACTGTGGCTGCTGAAATTTCGGCTCGCTCAGACACCTCAAGCGCGCCATTGATGGGTAAGAACCTGTCCAAGACTGGAAGGTGGTTGGTGTTATAGAAACCCTGTTATCAATGAGGGGTGAACAAAAAAATAAAATAAAATCAAAAAACTCACAAAGTAGGCGCCGCCTTGTTCCATCTTGATGTGGCAACAAATGCACTGGAAAGAGATGTTGTCCTGCAGGACTGTGGTCTCTAAGTCAGGCGGCAGCTGCAGGCGGAGCCTGCACACAACTCTGGGACACAGAGCGCACATGAAGAGAGTATTCTCTTCATAGCGCCCTGCACCATCCCTGCAGACTATGCAATACTAAAAGGAAGAAAGATAAAGCACATTAGTAACTAGATTAGTGAGAAAATGGACGCACCTCATTGTGAACACTTGTATTTGCCAAGTCCCCACCTCCCATAGGCAAGGTGGCCTTGGCAGCGGTCAAAGCCTTCAGAAGAGAGAAAGATAAAGTGAATCAGCAAATACAAGACAGAAAAAGTAAGACGCACCTTATAATGAGCATCTCTCTTCTCAATGTCCCCACCTCCCACAGGCTTGACCTTGGAGGCGGTCAAGCCTTCCTTCTCCGGCTATCCACTCCAGAAGTCCGGGTGCTTGAGATGTTGAGGAGGACACGTGGGGCTGAGCCGCCAGTGGATTTCTTGGCGGTGTTCTTGGTGCGGACCATAGTGGGTGACAAGAGCTGGTATTGTAGTTAGTATTAGCATAGAAATAGAATAAAGAAAACTCACATGACTTAAGAGACGCGTCAACACAAGAGACGCGTGGACACAAGAGACGCGTGGAACAAAAGAGACACGTGGACAAAAGAGACGCGTCAGCAAAAGAGACGCGTTGAGAAAAGAGATGCGTTGAGAAAACAAACGCGTCAGCAAAAGAGACACGTGGACAAAAACAAACAAAAGACACTCACATGATCAAAGAGACGCATTGACAAGAGAGAGAAGAGACTTAGACAAAAGAAACAAGTCGAAAAAACCAACCAAACATGCACGTGACTTCCCACCGGCAAAGTCCGACAACCAGTAGAATTGAGTGCGGGAACATTTGGTACAAACAACAACAAATCAACAAACAATACTTCAACCATCAACCTTGTTCCCACGGTTCGTCTGCTCAACTTCAACCATGTTTCCACTTCATCCCATAACCCATATATATTACACTATTACACCTTTCTTCCTTATCTTTTGTACCTGTCCTTTGGCCACTTGCAGACTGCAGCTGCAAGTGTTCAAAGGCAGTGTTACATTGACTTTTTACCGCTCTCAGTAAGTAATGTTAAGTCATATGATTTGTAGTACTGACTTGGTTTTATTTTATTTTGACAGCTGGCACACTATCAAGCTTTTGATAGCGCACCTTAAGGTCAGTCCTTTCTCTTGGTTCTTGATTGACTTTGTTTTAGTTATTCTTGGCCAACCATGTCCCCAGGGACTGGCGCCTCTAACCCTTTGTTTTTTTAGTTCTTCCTGGCCAACCATGTCCCCAGGGACTGGCGCCTTTACTTTGGGATCTGGGGGTTGTGTTCCTGGCCTACCATGTCCCCAGGGACTGGCGCCTTGGACTTTGGGATCTGGGGGTTGTGTTCCTGGCCAACCATGTCCCCAGGGACTGGCGCCTTGGACTTTGGGATCTGGGGGATATGCTCTTGGCCAACCATGTCCCTAGGGACTGGCACCTTTACTTTGTCCAGTTTTTACGCCTACTCACCTCTCTTTCAGATTTTCCACCTGCCTTGTTAAGCCCCCTTATTTCTTCTTCTACAAATATACCGCACTAACTACATTTTTTTCTCTAGCTTTCTATGACACTTTCTTGCTTTGCGCCTGTCTGGTTGAGTGGGTTTTTTCTTTTCTTCTTTCAATCATACTCTACCACTAACCGCATTTCTTTCTCTAGCTTTCTATATCAGTTTTCCTTGGTTATGTTTCAAACTGGTAAGCGCCGGCTTAATATTTAATATCATACTGACTTCCACTACATAGATTATCAGTTACTGCGCATTTTTTCTTCTATATTTTGTACTCTAGGGTGCAAGGCTTGGATGGAGAGGGCCCCTCCATCCTTGTCTTGCATCACTTACATTAGTCTTTTGTCTTTCTTTATTTTTGCCAACCTTGTACACTTTAGTGAAGCCATAGCGCAAATGTATTGCCCTTTATGGGTATTTTAATGTCATGTGATCCTTAATTTTTTGCCAAAATAAATGTCATGTGATCGTGAGAGTGCACCTTGAAGGGTATCTTGAGATTATATCTGTCTAATGGCGACTGATACTGGGTGCATCATGGTCATTGTTGCGTTTTTCCTTCATCATCGCCCGGTATCCCAAAACATGAGCCCATGTCAGTACCACCACTATACAAACACTGTATAGTGATGGCGACTGATATGGTGCATCATGGTCCTTGTTGTGTTTTTCCTATTGCCACTTATACACCCATTTTCCCTTCTCCATATCTCAGCGTTGTCAGTAACGGTGAGTTTATTTACCAGGACTATCTATACCCTATGCTTCACTTACTGCATTATCATCCATATATTGCAGCACTGTCAGTAACGGTGAGTTTATTTACCAGGACTATCTATACCCTATGCTTCACTTACTGCATTATCATCCATATGTTGCAGTGCTGTCAGTAACGGTGAGTTTATTTACCAGGACTATCTATACCCTATGCTTCACTTACTGCATTATCATCCATATTGCAGCACTGTCAGTAACGGTGAGTTTATTTACCAGGACTATCTATACCCTATGCTTCACTTACTGCATTATCATCCATATGTTGCAGTGCTGTCAGTAACGGTGAGTTTATTTACCAGGACTATCTATACCCTACAGCATCATTACTTGTTTCTCGAGGAAACTCAAGACATCATATTTGGTAATGTTTTACAGTCAAAGATCAAGTCTTCTAACCGTCACTTTTAATTAGATTAAATCTTTCTTTTCACCTTCAATCACTCTACCTCTACACCAGCATACGATGCTTGTTGACCAAGACGCAAACAAGGTGAGTACATTATATTATATTTTGCTGCTATATATGACACTTTCTACACTATCATAGGATATGGTCATGTTCACCCTTGATGAGGAGCATGCTATGCTCGTCGACCCAGATGACTCAACAAATGTGAGTACATTATATTATATTTTGCGGCTATATATTGACACTTTCTACACTATCATAGGATATGGTCATCTTCACC